TTTACACATGAGAAAACAAGAGGATGGAGATGTTTGGTACCTTGTCCATGGTTAAACTGTCAAGGAGTGAATGAGGTAGGGATTTTCTTGTCCCATCATTATTTTCCTATTCCATCAATACATAGAAAATGTATTGGTCCTATAACTTCAGCGGATATAGAAAACTCATAGATTCATTTTTCTACAGGGACTGAAAAGTTAAATAAAGAGAAACATCATTGAAAATAGTCGGTCACATTTTCAGAGCTTATCTCCGTTAATAATTCTTGCTTCCTTAGCTCTTCCATTTTCCCCCCTCTGGATGGTCCTCTGAAAACGATATCAAAGGTTAAAATAAGGTTGTTGAAGATGAGGCCTCTGGTTGCCTAACCAGTATCCAATCTCATCGTCTTGGTTAGTTTGTTGGGGACTAAAATGTGCGTAATTTAAGAGACGATATTTTCCAGCCTCCCTTGCAGTTAGAGGTCTGGCCAATAAGATGTAAGCAGAAGTCATTATGTAGGATTGTGTGGAAAGCTTTTTGAAAGGTAATCAATGCAGTCACAAATAAATATAAGTGGCACTTAACCATATGAAAAGATACTGAACTGAGGTTTGAAACCAGGCATGCTGTCTGGAGTTATCTCTGTTATCTCCCCACCTCCTGTGCGAGCTCATTGAGAGGATTAAATAGAAATGGTGTGTATAAACTCCTTTGCACAGGGTTCCCAGCTTGTTAGCTACTATTATTATGAGCACCTGCAGTATTTGAGGCACTGAAGTACTAAAATGCTTGACCTACATTCTTCCAAATAATCCTCCCATTTGATAGCTGAGAAAACTGAGCCTCAAGGAAGTAAAATGACCTGCCCCAAGTCGCATAGTAAATGGTAAGGCCAGGACTCAGATGAAAATCAACATGACCGATGCCTTCTAAGTTGGAAGAAGAGAGGAGAGGAAGAAAGGGGGAAGCAGAGTGGGAGACATTTTCCTCTCTGATGCTAAAGGACAGTCATTCTCCACTGCATCCATGGCTTACCCTGGAATATAGAAGGAGAAAGGGAAGAATCCTGGGCCATGACCTGGTAAAAGTCAGGCCCCAGTTTCAGTGAAATCTGGACTCTCTCCTATGTTTCCTTCCTTCGTTATTAATTTCTTCTAACAGCCCAAGGCTGCACGGTCTTGTCTGAGAGATGAAGGATCAGGGGGGAAAAAAGAAAAATAGTTGTTTAAAATAATGGCTTTTAACTTTTTTTACAGTAATCCACAAGAGGCACATTTTATTTTCTAACTCAGCACATGCACATACATGCCTGAACTGAATCCAAACTTTCTTAAAATATTTGATACTTACGTGCAGTTCACTGTGGCGTTTAATACTTATTAGTCCTTCTGTGCAGCACACTGTGGTATATTCTATAGCAGCTTAATCTCTCAAAATGCTGATCATGACCCATCAAGTCAATTTCACAACCTATTGTGAGTAATGGCCCAAGTAGGAAATACTTTGGTTTCTCAAGTTTTTATTTTTCGTTAATGCTCTCCTAAGGAGTTTTTTTTTTTTTTTTTTTTTTTTAGATGCGTTGTTTCCTAATGGCCACTCCTTGAGAAATTTTTATGACAGACTGTACATCTATGCTTTATATATCAAAAAGTAAGAATGCTTTGTCCTCCAAGAACCAATATTTGCCCCCTTGGGGGCGATGTTACCCCTGCTGAGAATGCATTAGAGACAAACCAACTCATTTTCTGAGCCTTCACACACCGTCCCAACATCCAATGAGTCTGTATTAATCTCATTCTACAGATGAATAAGCCACGCTGAAAGGTTAACATTAATTATCGAGGATTGAAATGGCTGGTAAATGGATTGGGAATCCAGAAACCTACTGAGATCCTAGCTCAGCTGTTTAATTATCTTTTCCGAAGTTTTGTTTCCTCACGTGGAAAATGGTGGATTGGTCCAAAGAAGTGTTCTCTGCGTGTTGCGGATTTTCCCCTATTTAATCTAATAATAACAAACAATTATTTACTAGATGTCAGTCACAAATTGATGCCTTTTACATATGTTAACTAATGTAATCCTCTCAGTAACCTAAGAGGGAAATGCCATTATTACTTTCCCTTTACAAATGAAAGAACTGAGACACTGAGAGGTTGTGTGACTTGCCCACAAGTGGCAGAGCTGGGATTTGAACCTAGCAGTCTGATTTCCAGAGTAGTTGCCTTTTTTAAAACCATGTACTTTAAAAGGAAACTTTTGATCATTATAGAAACTAGAAAACCATTATCACTTGTAAACAGAGGGTAATCAAAAAATTAATAAGATGAAACAACTTGTTCTAACATTCTGGCTAGATACTATCTATCGCCTGCCCCAAATGCTGAGCTGAAGGCCTGTTCTCTCTTTGTTAAAGAAAAGACAAGATTAAGTATGGATAGAGAAGTGTTAAAGGAGTTCTGGCAGCAAAATGAGACTTTCTCCTGGAATAATCAGAAGTGTTGAAAGAGAATTGGAAAGCATAGCTTTCCTGTGTGCATGCATGCTTTCTTGCTGATCTGTGTACCACCTAAAATAAATCCAAGATAGTGTGCATTCCACACACTGTGGTCCCTTGTCTGGGTGTTCTAGGAGTGCCCAAACATCCCTGGGGGAAGGTAGACAAGGCCGGCTCATTCTGGCACAGGGGCGCAGCACCTCCCCCCACTTCGGAAGGCCGCAGCCGCAGGGGGCAGCGTGAGGTGGCACTCGCTGCCCAGGTCCTGACCCAGGCTTGCCTGGTGCACGGCGTCCCCAGCTCAGGCCCAATCCCACGCTCCCTTAGCCTGGCTCCCCAGGTGGGCCTCTCACGCACAGGCGGTCCTCACATACCTGCCACACGGCTCACCCTGGGCCTGAAGTTTACCATTTCTTGCTACTTCAGGCTTCTCAGTCCAAATGCTGTCTTGTTCATCCTCTTAGATCCTGGGTGCAGCGCTGCCCCAGTCCCGCAGAGGAGTGCAGGTGTGATATCATCAAAGGCTGTGAATAAGTAAACGATAAGGAGCCAGAAGTGGCCTGTTTCCCACATGACACCCAGGGAAGGGTCCAATTCCCCCTACAGTGATCTGGGGACAGTCCTGGCCAGCGGGCCAGAACATTTATTATTTAGTGCTTTAATTGTACTGGTCCCAGGTTAGGTACAGTTCCAAACAAGTTCAGTCCCACCTTTTAGCTGTACAACAGAAAAAGCTAAGGGGCACAACACGTGAGATGTATTCAGAAAACTAAGGGTCTAGGCCTTTTTTTCTCTTATTGTTTTGTGATCTTGGTCAAGTGTCAGAGCTCTCTGAGCTTCGGTTGCATACACAGAAAGTCCCACTGCCCAGGCTCAAATCCTAGTTCTGTCACTCACTAGCCAGGAGAACTTGTGCAAGTGATTTAACAGCTCTGAGCCTTACGGTTCTTATCTGCAGAATGGGGGCAAGATGGAATAAGATGTGTGTGAATACTCATTGCAATATTCATTAAGAGCTGTTATATGTTTTTTTTTTAAAGATTTATTTATTTATTTTTAGAGAGAGGGGAAGGGAAGGAGAAAGGGAGAGAAACAGCAACGTGTGGTTGCCTCTTGCGTGCCCCCTGCTGGAGACCTGGCCTGCAACCCAGGCCTGTGCCCTGACTGGGAATCGAATCAGCGACCATTTGGTTCGCAGGCTGGCACTCCATCCACTGAGCCACACCAGCCAGAGTGTAATGAACCCTTGTTCTATGCCAGATACCCTGCCTTCATTTTCTTTAACCATCACCATAAGCCCTCACAGTCTCTTATGTAATCCCTGCTTTCCAGATGAGGAAGACTGAGGCTTAGTGACCTCAGCTGATTTGCCCAAGGTCACATAGACACACAGTGGCAGAACTGGAATTCAAATCTAGATCTTGCCCAGTTCTAAAATTCCTTTTTAACTGGTTCATAATTCTTTTCCATCTATAAAATGGAAAAAAAAAATGGTTTCTGCCTCTCAGGCCTACTGTTAAGATTAAATAAGAGAAAGTCTGTGGAGAGGCCTCTGCTGATGCTTGCTTTAACTTCTTATTTCCCCAGGGTAATTATCTGAGCACAGGACTTTCATTTTCATAATGAGGAGTCTGCTGAACCTCTTAAACTCTGGGAGGCAATATTGTCTGATGTCCATAGAAGGGGCTGAAAGTGTGAGATCAAATCGGGGCTCCCAGGTTCCCTTCCTGTGACCTAGCCCAGGCCTGCTAAGGCTTCTTTCATCTTCTGGGCTTCCTCTTCGCCTCAGGTCTCCCTCCCACCCCATGATGATTGGGAATACATACCCTTTTCTCTCTTTCCCAGAGGCAGTGCAAAACTACATTTGATATTACCTGACATCTCCAGCTTTGAACTGTAGGTAGGAGACCCGATGGTTATCCAGCTATCATAAAGTCAGTTTCTCCCAGCCTCCACAAATGGTGTGATGTGGGAAGAAGTGGGGCCCTGGCAAAGAGGGATGCATATATCACCCCTCCTATTGGCTTGGCACTGCCCACTCTCCCGCATAATGTATGAGCGCCTCGTAGGAACAGAATACCATCAGTAGTGAGTCTGACCATGGCAGGCCACAGGCGTGATCAGAGGCCTTGCCAAGGCTCACGTCTCTGTGTTGGCAGGAACTGAGAAGAGGGAGGGAGCTGTGTCACCTGAGGCCTTTCCTGGGGCTGGTTTCAACTTGGGCCTTGGATTCTGCAGAGAAGATGGGGGAAGACAAGAAGACAGCCTTAATAAGACAATCTGACCCTACCTCAGAATCAATGATAACATTAGGGAGAGCCAGACTCCTGTTTTCTGAGCTTGAAACCCCCCTTAGGGGGTGGGGGTGGCATCAGAGGTGTCTGGGACCTCTCAATTTGGTTGAAGGTGAGAGGGGAGATTTGGAACCCAAAGCCACAGACCCTGGCAATTTCTGTGACTGCCTCATGGTGTAGGCAATGCCCAGGGGCAGCTGCTGTGGTGAGGCACATCTGCGCAGAGAACATGGGCACAGGTAGGTAGGTAGGTGTACAGTGGCAGAGCTTTTGGGTGAAAATGCAAGCATGCGTGTAGAACCAAAAAGGTCAGGAATAAAAGCAGGTGGTCTGCGTGAGTGCCTTGGCTCCCTGAGAGCCACAGGAACTAGGGCATCTGGATAACAACACTTCATTAGTAGATACAGTTGGATTCAATTCATTCATAGAATCAGTGATTACTTACTGGATGCTCCCAAGGCCAGGCCAAGTGCTAGGGCTTGAGGTATGGAAATGAATCAGACCCAGGTACTCACAGTCTAACTGGGGAACCAGGCATTGAAGTAAAGATCCAAATACCTTGTGGTAAAGTGATAGAACAGCAGTATGTATATGGTGTCCAAAGTGGCCACCTCTGCCTGAGGATGGCAGAAAGAACTCCCTGAGGCAAAACTGAGCAGAGGCTTGAAGGTTGAGGAAGGAGTCTTCAGAAGGGAAACAGGGGAAGGATGTTGTTCTACGCAGAGGGAACAGCATCTGCAAAGGTGTAGAGCTGTGAAACCCTCTGCACTGGTTCAGGAACCTTGAACGGATCCTATGGTGGAGCCTTGAAAGAACTGATGAGGCATAAAACAATCATTTGTTTGCATATTATCTGATTTCCCCTCCCCCCAGTGTAATGTAAGCAACACAAGGGGAGGAAATTTGTCTGCTTTATCCTCTGCTAGAGATCCAGCGCCTAGAGCAGTGCTTGGCCCCCAGTGAGGTATGTTTGGGGATGAATCAACCGAAGACAGGCTGGACCCAAGTGGAAGGTGCTGACAGTCAGCCTAAAGCATTTGGACTTTATCCTGGAGTCAGTGGGGAGCCTTCAGAGGTTTAAAAATAGAAAAGGAACAAGATCTGCTGTGGGAGGGAGGAAATCACTTTGACAATGATGTGGTGGTTTAAGAAATCAGATTATGAAGTTTTTTTGATTGTTTTTATCTATCATTTTTTATTGGTATTCTGTTACAGGTGTCCCAGTTTTCCCCCCTTTGCCATCCTCTGTCCATCACCCCCACGCCCTGCTCCCACAGTCAATGCCCACACTGTTGTCCGTGTCCATGGGTCATTCATACATGTTCTTTGTCTAGTCCCTTCCCTTTCTTTCCACCATTATCCCCCACCTCCCTCCCCTCAGTGTGCTCCATGTTTCCGTGCCTGTGGTTCTATTTTCTTCAGTAATTTATTTTGTTAGATTCCTCTTATAGGTGAGACCATGTGGTATTTGTCTTTCACCAATTAGCTTATTTCATTTAGCATAATCTCCAAAGTTTTTTTAAAATTTACTTACTGATTTTAGAGTGAGAGAGGAAGGGAGAGACATTCATTGGTTGATTCTTATATGCACCTTGACCGAGGAATTTACCCACAAACTTGGTTGTATTGGTGAACGCTCTAACTAACTGAGCTACCCGGCGGGGCCAGATTATGAAGTCTTAAATTACGACGCTGTCAGTAAAAATGAGTGGCGTCGGGTTGAAAAGACGTTGGGAATAATGCCAGACAATTGACGAGAAGCTTTGATTTTTACAGCGTCCCTGTGAGAAAGGTGGCTCCCCTTTTACAGAGGTAGAAATGAATTCAGGGAGGCGCAGTGACTTGGCCGAAGTCACACAGCAAGTTGGTCGTGTAACCCAGGGGTTCAGTCTTCCCTTTGTAGCGTCCCAGGACTCAGCATATGAAGAAGATCCGACCAGGAAGCTGGCAGCAGAAATTTGCCATTTTGGTGCAATAACTGCAAGGAATCGAGCAGACCGTAAAAAGAGCTGGTAGTCACAGGGAACAGGCAATGGAAGAGAGGCGGGGAGAAGGAATTTTGGGTTTCGGCGGCCGCCGTAGGAGCAGCGCTTTGTCTCCATGGCAATAGCAGGAAGCCGCGGGAGGTTTTTGGACTGTGCTGCTTAGGCGGCCGATTGGACCTAATGCTACGCGGCCCCGAGGGTGCAGGTGATGCGGCTGGGTGGGTGGAGGGACGCGGAGTGTGGTCACAGCAAAGGTCTGGGGCCCGCGAGAGAGATGTCGCCCTCGAATCCCTTGATCCTCATTCCCATTGTCTGGATGAGGGGCCCACGCTGGGCCTCAGTTTCCCCAAACGGGAAGCGGATGGAAGGGAGTGGGCAACCCAGTCCAATGGCCCCTCGCAATCTCTGAGGCCCGGACTTCCTCTCCTTTGCAGCTCCTGAACTGACTGGCGCTGTCCTGCCCCATGGACGTGAGTCCTAGTCCCTTTAACCCTCTCCGGCGCGGCCCCCTCAGCGCCCTAAACTCACACCAACTTTGCCTGCCTTCCGGCGGCACTGGAGAAGAGGCTGTTTGCTGAACATAAACCTCTCAGCTGAAGATAAGAGTTTTGAGAAAGAATGCCACGGATGGGGGCTTCCCACGGGAGGGCACTTTCCTGCTCTTCCTCGTGAGATGAAGAGTTTGCCAAGTAACCAACGGGAAAAGGCATTCCAGAGGAAACAGCTTGGGTAGAGAGAGACCTGGGGGGAGGGAGGGAGGAGGAAGAGAGAGAGAAAATAGAGCATTTGGGGGACTGCTAGGACTGAAGTGTGGCTGGATAACCTTCAGGTACAGGGGGAGGGAGGGAGGGAGAAGTAGGTGGGGCTGGACCTGAGCCTTTGTCACTGAGGTAAGTTCAGACTAAGGCACTGAGAGCCATTGATGGATTTGTAAGCAAGGGAGGCATACACAGGGACAGCTGGTATGGAAAGGGACAAAATTGCAGATTGGAAGACAGAGGCAGTAATGTTGGCTGAGGGATGGTAAAGAATCAGAGAGACCATAGGTCCATTTGGAGAGACATTCTGAAAGGAAGTCCATTAAGTCTTGGTAAAGTCTAGAATGACCAACAAGCCCTTTATGGTGCTGAAATGGGGATGACAGGAGAATAGGCAGGTTTGGGGGACAAGAGAGTGTAGTCCTATCGACTGTCTCCCCACCACCTGGTGGCTGTTCTTCCCCTTTTCCCAGCCACCTCAGTGTCCCTCCTGGTGTTTCTGTGTTCCTGTAGCCCCTCCTACCTCCTTGTCACCCCCTCCTCCTGTGCTCATTCAGGCCTCCTCTAGCCCGTGGAATCCCACCCCGGCTCCTGTCAGCAGTCCTTCCCTGCTGCTCCCCATCCCTGCCATCGTCTTCATCGCTGTGGGCGTCTATTTGTTGCTGCTAGGCCTAGTGCTGCTAACTAGGCACTGCCTGCTGGTGAGGAGCTGGTTGGGGTTGGGGGGCGGGGCGCGTTCTGGGGAAGAGGAACCTGGTTAATCTGTGCCCTCCTCTGCAGGCCCTTTAACCTGAGACTCCTTTGCTATTTAGTCCCCCCCATCTATTCTTTTTGTGGCACCAGAGAGTTCCTCCTCTGCTGTTCTCCTGCCTCTCTCGCCAAAATCACGTCTTGGTTACCCCCACCTGCCACCTGGCCCAGATCCTGAGCGCTGCTGTTTCCTAGGCCCAGGGCTGCTGCACCAACTGCAGCTCCCCCTGCAGGAAGCAAGGCGCCTCCAGGCCCCAGGACTGTTGCTGGACCTGTGCAGAAGCCTGCGACTTCCCTCTGCCTAGCCCAGCTCACTACCTGGATGCCTGCTGCCCCCAGCCCACCGAAGCTGTGAGTTCTCACACCGTCCTCTAGCTCCCTGAGCCCTGATCTAGGCACTGTCTGTGCATTCATTTTTGTTGTTGTTATTCAACATTTATTATTCAGCACCTCCTCTAGGCCAGGCACAATTCCAGGTATTGGCTCAGGTGGAGACAGCCCCAAATCACATAAACAACATATAATTTCAAATGATGAAAGAGCTACTTGGAAAAAAGAAAGCAGGGTGTTGGCTGGAGAAAGGTGATGTGTGTAACATGTATGGCATATAATCAGTTCTGAAAATGGTAGTTAAAAGAAAAAGACAGAACCTCTCACAGAGCTCTTTCTGTTCTTTGAGTGAATACTGTGTTCCATTATATCTCCTCAACAACTCTGGGAGCTGGGTATTTTTAAAAACCTGTATATGTTTTTTCTGATCACAAAAAGTATTATTACAAAGTGTGCATGTAGAAATACGTAGAAAACACAAAGCAATTTATAAACGAGCTCTCTGACCAAGGTTGCTATGTTTTGTGTATGACCCTCACATACTAATATACAATTCCATCACTGCTGAATTTTGCTAGTATTTGGTAAAAATGGGTCATACCACATATTCTGTATCATCACAGCTGCTCCTTGCCCTTTTTAACTTGACTTCACACCTTGGTCACCCCTCTAGGCCTGCGCAGGTACATAGGTAAGTATTTGTATCCTCCTTTTGCAGGGGAATAAGTGGGCTTAGGGAAGTTAGTCACTTCTCCAATATTCCACAGTAGAGTCTTACATAGAAAATTGTTCTGTAGTGTGTTGGAACAGAGTCCTCAGGGAGAAGCCTGGCTTTCAGAGGACAGGCCATTTTTGCGTTTGTGGATTTAAAGATGTTCAGTGTAATCAACCACCTACCTAGGCAATAATTATTTGGGACTCAGAGATTTAGACGGTAAAGCTCCTGCCCTTGAAGTGGTAACTAACCTTCCCTGGGGATAAGAGTGAGGCTAGAAGACCAAGCAGATTCCTAACTTGGACTGACGGTTGTTAGTGCATTAGGGTCTCTGTTCTTCAGTTTCCTTAGTAATAAAAACAGTCACAAATATTACTAAGCTCTCTCCTACCTCACAGCTATAGAAACTGAAGCTTACAGAGGCTTGAGTGACTTGCTTGAGGCTTGGGCCATGACAGAAACCCAGGTTTCTCTTCCTCTCTGGGGGAGAAACCTGCCTAATCTGCTTCTTTCACAGAATGTCCCAAGTATCTAATTCACTCATTATTTAATCATTTAACCAAAGATTTATGGAGTCATTGTTGAGGCCCCAGGATGGGCCCTGGGGGCTCAGTGGAAACAAGATAGACATGGTCCGTGCCCTCACAGGGCTTACATTCCAATAAAGAACAGAAAGAAATACCAGTAAGTAGTAACGGTGTATGAGAATGGCCTGACAGAGTGCAGCGGTTGGTTCTCAGCCCTGCGTGTGATCAGAAGCAGGCATCAGGCTTAAACAGAAAGCTAGGCATTCAGGCCCACCACTCACTAGTTCTGAGACTGGCTTGGAGTTGGTGAATTTGTAACAAGTTCCCATGTGATCCTGCCCCACACCAGGGTAAAGAATGACCACTGTGAGGACAAGAATAACTCCCTTTATTGAGAGCTCACTATGTACCAGGCCTTGTGCTTGGTTCTTTCTACTGATTCTTCACAGTGACCTTAAGAAGTGGGTTCAGAGAGAAGGAAACTGAGGCTCAAAACATGAATTAATCAAACCTGGGCCTGAATTGGATTCAAAGCTGGGCCTGAGCTGTAACTAGTAAGGATGGCTAGCCTTCACAAAATCAGAGCAAAAGAAATCAAGTGAAAAACTGCAGAGCCTAGAGAAACACAAGGGTTAACAGTCTTATGGAGTCCTTGTTTAATGTACTTAAACAGCAGATTCCTTCCAGGAGCCACCTGGCTGCCTGAGAGGGTTGAGAAACCCATTAGCCAGTTACTAATGACTAGATCCAATGGACAGAGCCAGGAAATGCTTTTAATACCCACTTCTCTGAGTTGAGGGCAGGGAAACCTCTGTCAGTCACCAATTTTAAGCACAGAATGACAGTGTGGGCCTCCAAAAATTGACAGAGCCAACCTCACCCCCAAACAGGGATTCCCCAGAGATACCCCAAACCACACCCTCATCCAACACAAGGAAACCACTTTGCTCCTCTCTCCCTTCCACCATGACACTCCTAGCCTCCTCCTGAGAGCCACTTCTATTGGCAGTAGCTCCAGCCCAATTCAGACCCCTCTCCCTGGAGACTATGCGTCCTCTCCCCTCACTGGAGCCCCTAGTGATATCTGATCTCTCCAGTCATCTGACACCGCACCCCGAAACCTCAGCTGTTCAAAAGGTCATTCCCCTATTCCTGGCTTGGCCCTGTGTCTGAGCTGTGCAACTGTGACTGTCACTAGCTGTGCCTCAGGACTCAAGGAGCCAACCTTCTGTCACACATCCTGGGCATGTCCCACCCCAGCCATGTGGCCTAACTCCAGTCATGCCTGAAGCAGTCTCAGATCATCTCTGCCCCAGGACGGGAGAGGAATGGGTTGGAATAGGCTATGCTCCCTTCCTGTCTTTGAGGACGTGCTGTTCTTATTTCCCAAGAGACAGACCTGTTTCCCCTGGGAACTGAGAAGACTTATTTCTTCTTTGCCTACAGAGGGAAAAATGACGTGCTTTAGTTTATCCATTCCTTCAGCATTCGTTGCTGAGCATGAGTCCCCGTGCTAGCTCAGTGGAGACAGGAGGTGAACAGCCGCTGCCCTTGCAGACACAGACAGAAGCTGATATTCCTGGCCTTGGGAGGAGTGGGGTCTAGAGGGATCTAAGGACTGCAAGCAGGCAGGCCAGGCCCGTCCCGGCAGCATCCCCGAGTGTATCCCTTTCGGCACTCATCCCCCTCTCTGAGCCTGCACTTCTTTTGTAAAGAGACCCCCTGCTCAAGGTTCTGGTAATTAAGAGAGAGACAACTTTTTAAGACATTAAAATTTTTTGAATATGCACAGTACCAACTTTTAAAGAACACTAGAAAGATTTTCAAAACTCGTTCATGAACGCAGTTCGTGCCTTGCACAGAATAGTTGCTCAGAAATGAACAAGAAGGTTGTGCAGTTTGGTCTCATGCCAAGGAAGAAATCCACAAAACCAACAAGTTATCTTCATCATAGACAGAAAATGTGTGTGTGCTTTCCCTGCCTACTGACTTTCCACACTGCACGTAGCCACAAAAATGTAGTAGAACCATCTTTGAGTTAAACATTGGGACACCCGAATTCTAGCATGGGTCCAGGGCCAGTTACTCCCTGGTCCTCAGTCTCCTCACTTATAAAATGAGAGAAAGAGCCCCCCCCCCCTGAAAAATTTCTTCCAGCTCCTAAACTTAGTTATTTGGAATGTTGCCTCCTTGCTGATTTCTCAACAGCACAGGGAATTGACTTGTTCCCAGGATTAGTGGATGGTACTCTCTGTTCCACTGGGCAAATGGGACTTTCCAGGCATCTCTGTTGCCTTCTCCCCTTGAGAGGCTCTGGTCCCCCTTCTTCCTGCCCATCTCCCTCACTTCTTTCTCTTCTCCCTCAGGGTTGGGCCCCTCATTGCCCTCCTTGCTGCCCACTCTGCGACTGTGCCTGCGCGTGCCAACTTCCTGACTGCCAGAGCCTCAACTGCCTCTGCTTTGAGATCAAGCTCCGATGAGGACCCAAAGTCCCTGCCCTCTGGGGCGCAGCCAGCCCCCGGGGCCCACATGCCCTCTTCCCTGAGGGACCTCAGGACACCTTTCTCCAGGCCACTGGAACCACAAATGGGATGCCTGGCTCCCTGGCCTGAGAACCAGCAGTGGAGGACTTCGTTCTCAGCAGGGTAAGACTCAGAGAGCCCTTGGCCAGCTAGACTACAAGTGCTTCCTAGGGCCCAAAGAAAGAGGGGCTAGTGCTCTGTCTGGCAGACACCCTTGCTCTCCTCTTCCCCTCCTTAAGTAGGCTCATGTTTGAAGGTAAGGGGGGGGGGACTGCTAACCATAGACAGCATTATGGGAGGAACTTGGACCTTAAGTATCAGGATATAAGGGTACTCTAGCATACCCAGTCCATGGGCTTTTGGTTATCTTGAGGTGTGAGCATAATGCCTACATCTGCTCTCCCTCTAAAGAAATGGGTTCCAGCCCTTACCGGTGTGGCTAAGTTGGTTGGGCTGCCTCCTGCAAAGTGAAAGGTCACCGGGGTTCGATTCCCATTCGGGACCCCGTGTCTGGGTTGCAGATTCGATGCCCGAAGGCAACCCATTGACGTTTCTCTCATGAATCGATATTTCTCTCCTTTCTCCCCACCTTCCCATCTTTCTAAAATAAAGTCTTTTTTTAAAAAAAAAGAAAGAAAAGAAAGAAATGGGCTCTAGAGAATCATAACAGCCCCCATGAGAGCCCAGTGAGGAGGGCAGGAAATCAGCAGAAGAGGCAGGGAGGGCCACATGGTGAGTCCCCTTTCCCCTTCTCTCCCCACAGATCCCTGTCCAAAGATTTATTTCCCTTTTGAGGGCCTCAGTCTGGATTTCCCAGGAAGAAATGTCCTCTGAAGTACTGGTGAGTGGGCAGGGGGCCCTCCCCCACCCTCAAAATAGGGCAGGCCCACAGCTCCCTCCCTGCTTTTCTCACTTCGGGCCCCATGCTGGCCTGAATGTCAGGAGCTTCAGGTTTCCCTAAATATAGGTCCCTGCCAGGGAATCCGTGGCAAGGAAAGGGCAGGGGTCACTGGAGAAGGTTGGGGACATAGGCTGGGGGAGGGCAGGAGCTGCCTTTATAACCCAGCCCGGTTCGGCCTGGCTCACTCGCTGCTGACCAGGCTCTGCCCGCCGCTTCGGTCTCCTCCATCCAGGTGGGCCCCAGCCAGGCAGGGCTCGGGTGGGCTAGGGCTGAAGGTGTCCCGATTAGCAGGGGAGAACTAGGATGGGTGGGGTGGCGGAATGTATGTGGGAGGTTGACCAGCACCAGATAGATTTTATTTGTAGTGAGATGTCAGGTCCAAGGGGGAAGTTTCATAAGGGAGAAGTTGCTTGGGCCGAGTGCGGCCGGCCACTTGCTTCATGGTCTGGCTTTGCGTGGTGGCCGGGGTTTCAGGCAGGTCAGCACCGGTCCCTGACGGAGGCCGGACGAGGCTGGCCCAGGCGGGCCGCCCCTGGAACCCTGCAGGCACCAGTAGGGCGCGATTGGGGCGGGTCACCCAGGAGGCTGCCACCAAGCCTCCTGCCAGCCCGGCCAGCTCCTTGTGCTCTCTGTGTGTCCACCCGCAGCCTTTTCCTCGGCCACTTTCTCATGGGCTAGTGACACAGGGAGGGGCGGCCCCGGGTCACAGAGCCGGCCAAGTCCAGCCTGCAGGCAAGGCTGCCACACGCCCTAACTCTGGATTCGGCGACTCTATGACACACGCTGCTTCAGCGTAGGCCGGAAGATGGGGCTGGGCCCGGCCTGGGAGGGGAAGCTGAGCTTCGGTCTTCTCGGGCTCACCCGCGCCCCCGCTCCACCGCCCCACCGCCCCACCAATCCCCATCCCCTCCGGTGCTAAGAACCAGCTGAGTCACGATGCCTCCGAGCACGTCAGGCTGGAAGGAAAGGAAGAGGGGAGTGTCGGGACCGCTCGGGATGTGGCCCCAGTCACGTCCGAGGAGGGTGGGGGAGGGATCTTCTTCTCCCCGCCTAAGAGCCGCCTCTGGGCTTCGCCTTTGGGGGCGGCCGCTCCCACAGTCCCTCGCCTGCAATTGGATGCCGGGGCGCCTTCGGCCCCAGAAAAGGAAAAAAAACAAAAACGGTGGAGGGTGGAGCTGTGCCTTCAGAAAGCCCGGCCCCACCTTCCTCCTCCCCGCCCCTTGCACCGCCCACACGGGAGCTTAATAGGCTGCGTTCCTCTTGGAATGCGCAGCAGAACCAGGGAAGTAGTGACGACTGCGGCGTTCGCTGCCTCAGTCCACTCGCCACTCCGCCGCTCTCCGCCGCTGCACCGCGCAAACCCGCCCCTTTCCTGTGCCAGGTGAGCGCTTTTCGCCACGTGCGAGGGTCAAGGACCATGGAGAAGGATCCTGGGGGCTGTGGCGGGTGGGGCAGAGCCCCCTGCACCCGCTTCTAACATCACCACCCCCGCCTCTATACACACAAGCTCCCAGCCCAGACTCCCCAACCCTCTCTAGCTGGAGCTCACTCGGTTTACTGCGCAATGCTGCGGCTCTGCGCGCTGAGTCATGGCGGGGGAGGAAGCAGGACAAGATGAAAGGCCATCCCCTTTTCTTGCCCGACCCCTGGTGCAAAGGATTATGGCCCCTTTGCCTCTGCAGGGATTTTAAGAGGCACAGAGGGGTGGGGACCAGCTCCTAGACGGCTTCATGGTTCCGAAAGCGGGTGGTTGGGTCCTGCCCTAGGAGGCCGGAGCCTCTGGCGAGGAGGGGACAACCCTCGGCAACGCCTGTTGCCCTATTAACACTTTCCCTGTCTTTTCTTATCGGGTGACCTTGATTCTGAGCCTGGAACAGCTGCAACCCTACGAGCAGACGGGAGCATTTTTCAGGGGGAAGGGGTGGGGCGTTGGCCTCTCCTCCACACTCTTACCTGCATGAGCAGTGAGATCGGCAGACCTCACCCCTTTCCTCATCCTCGGGCTGGGCTTCCTCTGCTGCCCTTTCCTAGGGTTCTGATTTCCTCCTACCGTTTCCTAAGTACCCTTTTCCTAATGCCCTCCCCCACCCTGGGGGCGGGGGAGAAGTCTGACCTTGGGATGTCCTTGATGCCTTGGTGCCTGTTTCAGCTGTGGGATCTAGGGTGGATGAGAAGGAACACTCCTGCGGCAGTCAGAAGATCTGGGTTCTACTCTCAGATCTGGCCCTTGGACTGTTGTGTGACTTTCTCTTCTCAGGGTCCTTTCAGATGAGGCAGTTGGGCTCTCTGCCTTATGCAGGACCTTCATATTCTAAAAGACTTCGGTTCAATTTTGCTCCTAGGCAAAGTGACCCCATGGCAAGGCGCAAGCCAGAAGGGTCCAGCTTCTACATGAGCCACCTTTCCATGGCTCTGGCCTATTCCTTTACCCCAGATGCCAGTATGCAACCCCACCCTCAGCTGGGCAACACCCAGCAACAAACAGAGTTAGGAAAGGTACAGGAGGCAGGCCTAATATAGGGAAGTTGGGTGTAGGGGAGAGCTGGGGACAGGAGATGCCCCAAAACCTGCTGGGTATGGGGCAGGGGAGGTAGGGAACCTTTGCCCTGACCTCCAGACAAAGGACTCTGCTTGTTGGGAGACCATGGAAGGACCCCGCTAACTAGTGCTCCCCATCTTCCTCTGCCCAGGAACTGACTGGCACGATGCCCTACCAATACCCAGCACTGACTCCGGAGCAAAAGAAGGAGCTGTCTGACATTGCTCAGCGCATTGTGGCTCCGGGCAAGGGCATCCTGGCTGCAGATGAGTCCACTGGTACGGGCAGGACACAGTGGGGGAGGGCCTAGAGTTGGGGGCGACAGGCTGATCCCCTTATGACCATGTGCTGCTTCCTTCCAGGGAGCATTGCCAAGCGGTTGCAGTCCATTGGCACTGAGAATACCGAGGAGAACCGACGCTTCTACCGCCAGCTGCTGCTCACTGCCGATGACCGCGTGAATCCCTGCATTGGGGGTGTCATCCTCTTCCATGAGACACTCTATCAGAAGACAGATGATGGGCGTCCCTTCCCCCAAGTTATCAAATCCAAGGGTGGTGTCGTGGGCATCAAGGTGAGGGGGCTGGGCCTCAGGATGTGAGATCTGAGATGAGTCTGGGAAAGAGAAAATCCAGAGTAATAGGCTGGGGGGGTGAACATTGGGCTGGGAGCCTGGAGACCTGGGTGGAATCTACCCCAGATCACATGTAAGGGAAGTTAGAAACTGTGGGCCCTGCTTGGCATTTTTAATCCTTGGAAGTTCTAAGAGCAAGGCATTACCTTCACCGTATAGATGAAAAACCAGAAGCTCAAGGCAGGGAAGTGTTTTGCTCACAGAGTTAGTAAGTAGTAGGAGCACAGGCTCTCCATCAAATCACAGCCCCATGAATCTTGCCTCCTAGGATCAGATACTGTAACTAAGTGAAAACATCTGCGGACCAGGAAGCACCACTTGAAAGATTAAGTTGGGGGCAGAGTAGGGCTCTAGAGCAGAAAAAGGCAGTAGAGATCGCTTACCTGTCTTATGTTGTCCCACCCCAACAGGTAGATAAGGGCGTGGTACCCCTGGCAGGAACAAATGGCGAGACTACTACCCAAGGTGAGAACTGTTTGGCTTCCTGCCCTACCGACCCTCCCACCCAGGTTGGTGTCCTCTGGGTGCCCAGGGTAAGTGGGAGCCACCTGCCTCCCCCTCTGCCATGCTCTGACTTCTGCATCCCCTCTCTAGGGCTGGATGGGCTGTCTGAGCGCTGTGCCCAGTACAAGAAGGATGGAGCTGACTTTGCCAAGTGGCGCTGTGTGCTAAAGATTGGGGAACACACCCCCTCAGCCCTTGCCATCATGGAAAATGCCAACGTTCTGGCCCGTTATGCCAGCATCTGCCAGCAGGTGGGCCTGCATGTCCCCAACAGGCCTACTCCCACCTCGTTTGGTTCCAGAGTGTCAGCTAGCCTGCCACCCATCTGCCAGGATATCTACTTCCCCAAGGCAACTGTTCCGGATCCTTACCAATCGTCAGGCTTGGTCCTGAGGACTCTGTGAGCACAGGGGCAGGACAAGGCTTGTGTAGGTAGATCTGAGGAGATCCTGTCTCCTACAACCCTGCAAAGCTGAGGGCTTTGAGGCCAGGAGTCTCTGTCTTCATCGGGATAAGACCTTGGCTGGTGGTTGTGGAGAGCTACAGGTTGGACTTCAGTTTAGGAGGTCTCATAGCTATTCTGTCCCCTCACCCCACAGAATGGTATTGTGCCCATTGTGGAGCCTGAGATCCTCCCCGATGGGGACCATGACTTGAAGCGCTGTCAGTACGTAACTGAAAAGGTAGGTTTCTTGCCTGCCTGGGCAGTCTGTGGTGGGCTAGGTAGCTGGGCCATGGGCACTGAGGCTGACTCCTGTCCCCCCCACCCCACCCCACCCCACCTTGGTCCTGCCCTACTCTAGGTGCTGGCTGCTGTCTACAAGGCCCTGAGTGACCACCACATCTACCTGGAAGGCACCTTGCTGAAGCCCAATATGGTCACCCCAGGCCATGCCTGTACCCAGAAATTTTCTAACGAGGAGATTGCCATGGCAACTGTTACCGCACTGCGCCGCACAGTGCCCCCTGCTGTCCCTGGTGAGACCCATAACTCTCATTGCCCTCTGGGAGGTAGACGAACTGTACCCACAATCTTTATGCCCATTGGTCTGATTTTCAGGTCAGCTTCTAGGAACTCCTGCCAGTCTCCTGGATCTCTGACTACAATCCCTCCTGTCATTTCACCCTTTGTTTTATAGGGATCACCTTCCTATCTGGAGGTCAGAGTGAGGAGGAGGCGTCCATCAACCTCAATGCAATCAACAAGTGCCCCCTGTTGAAGCCATGGGCCCTGACCTTCTCCTATGGTCGAGCCCTACAGGCCTCTGCCCTGAAGGCCTGGGGTGGAAAGAAGGAGAATCTGAAGGCTGCCCAGGAGGAATATGTCAAACGAGCACTGGTGAGGATGGAACAGGAGGTGGACGGAATGCTGGGGTGGATGAGATTCTGAGAACAGACCTTCTCACTCTGGCTCCTCTCCCCTTTTAGGCCAACAGCCTCGCCTGCCAAGGCAAGTACACTCCAAGCGGTCAGGCCGGGGCTGCAGCCAGCCAGTCCCTCTTCATCTCCAACCATGCCTACTAAACAGAGGTGTTCCAAGGCTGCCCCCTCAACACTCCAGGCCCTGCCCCCTCCCACACTCACTCCTGAAGAGGGGGCCTCATCAGGGGCTGCAGGCTGTTTCCCATCCTTGCCTCCTTTGTGACATTGGTGCGTGGTGTTGTCTGCGTATGCTAACTCCAGTGCTCTTTCCAGCCCACTGCCAATAAACAGCTATTTAAGGGGGAGTTCTTGGCCATGTTTATAGTGTCTGGGTCAGGGGAGGGCCCAGGGAGGTGGCAGAGTCCAGAAGAAAGAACCCTTCTTTTATTTCTTTTTTTCTTAGGCAGGAAAAAGGTGAAGGGGTGGGGTAGGCATTTCCTGCTTTGTTTTATAATTGCGGAGGGCTTGTGGAATATTCTTCCAACTACCAATGTCTCTTATCCCTTCTACCAGCAGCGTCAGATAATAATTGGAGTGTGTATAACTGCTAAGTTGTATGAGGCTGCAGGGTCAGTCTCTCTTCTATATCTAGAACTCACAGGTGCAAGAGGTCCCTGTGACAAAATAACCAGTGACAAAAGTCAAGATTTCCTGAGTCTATGAGCCAGGCAACATAAGTGTTCTATATGGGTATGTGCTGTTATTCCCAATTTACGCTTAAGGCTTTATTGCTGGAGATTGTATTGTTTCTGGATGGAAACAAGATTATTAATCCATATCTCAATCTACACTGTTGAGCTTGTCCATTTTCCCATCTTAATGGAAAATCAGATTAGAACTGGCTTCTTAGTCTTCTTGGGCAGTGGAACCCCTTGAAGAACCTGGAATCCTCTCCAACATCTCAACAATGCAGACACAAACACAGAACTCAGGTTCCAACTTAAGAACTGAGCCTCTAGCCCTGGCTGGTATGGCTCAGTGAATTGAGCACTGTCCTGTGCACCGAAAGTCGCCGGTTCAATCTCCAGTCAGGGTACATGCCTGGGTTGTCCGGCAGATCCCCAATAGGGGGCATAAGAGGCAGCCACACACTGATGTTTCTCTCCCTCTCTTTCTCCCTCCTTTTCCCCGTCTAAAAATAAATAAATGAAAAATCTTTGAAAAAGAAAGAACTGAGCCTCGAGTTGCTGCATTCCATGAAGCCAAAATGAGGGCCATGCACTTACCCCTGTGCCATGCCTTTAACCCTTACCCAACCCAGCGTGGGGTGCAGCAGTATACACCAGAAAGTCTCAGCAGTTATAAGATCCTAGTCATAACCAGGGACCTAGTATTCCTGCCACTTCCCAAATTTCCTGATATGGGCCCTTTTCCATCTGAGCTCCCTTCAGGGGGAGAGAGGAAAAAAAACAATCGACTTCTGATCTCCCAAACCCTACCAAATCCATGTAGTGATAGGCATGAAACCAATTTACCTAGGGCCTTCTAGGAGTTTCTTTGCACATTTGCATTTATTGCGTACATACAAAACCAACCTCTCCTAGTGCCCTTTAAAACTTTGGCCCTCACTTCTGTGCCTACCATCAGCTCTGAAATATCTGAAATAAAGCACATGAAAATTGAAGGTCAATAGAAGACATGAAAAGGACATTCCAAAAGGGAGCAGCGTGTGCAAGACACCATGAAGTTTGCTTAAAGGGACTAGGGAAGCAGAGAAACTCAAATAACACTTCAGGGAGTTCTGAGCTTATGACAAAGTGAGTTCCAGAAAGTGTAAGTGTAACACAGCTTTCCTGGGGTCAAATTTCAGCTTTAATTCAAACCCCAAATTCTTAGTTATGCAAACATGAACAAGTTAGTTAACCTCTCTGAGCCAGTTTCCTCCTCTTTAAAAAAAAAAAAAAAAAGAATAAAACTTGCAGACAACAGAAAGCAATTTAGGGTTATCAAGGGGACCATTCTGCAGTCTTGGAGGCCATGGTGACAGAGGCATAAGCTTGGTGCACTCCTTTCTGCCTCTTAACTTCAGAGGTCCTCCATGGCAGAGATTTCTCTGTGACACTGGAGAGAGAATTAAGCTGATATTCCTACATTCATTGAATAACTACTTATGTATGCCTACTGTGCCAGGTCTTGTTCTAAGCAGTGGGGCTGCAAAGGTGAACCAGGCAATGCTCCGTTCCTCAGAAACTGTAATGGGGGAGGCCGACTAAAATGGGTAAATAAAAACGCGTGGCAGAAAGTTACAAGGCAGAACCCGAGCTAAACTTCAGTCTGGAGGTGACTCGGCTAGGTTATCGCAGACCTCAGATCGACAGGCCGTTTGACCCACAATAACTTGCGCCCGCAAGGGGCCAACATCCGGTTCCTCCGGCTCGTTTCCAGTCCTGGGCCCGAGAGGTGGGGTTAAGAGCGCGGCGTGGGAGGGAGAGGGTATGTATGACGCCACATCCGACGCGCGGCGGAACTGGGTTCCCTTTGCTGCCGCGGCGGGGCCGGAAGTGGAAGTGGCGGTGGCGGCGGCCCAAAGCTGAGGGAAGTACTTCGGAAGGCAGGGAGCCGGAGAGCCGGAGGCAAATTCACAGCGGCGGTAATAGTCGGAGACGCCTCTAGGTCATCGTCCCTAGCGCGGGACCGCGCGGTTCGATGGGAGTTAGCAGGGGGGCGAGCAGGGCCGTGGGACTCTGTGAAGAGAGGTTGGGGGAGGGGGGCGGCCCAGATCCAAAGTAGTTGCCCTCCCCACCCGCTCTAAACCCTGGGACCCCGTAGGGACCCTTATCCCGGCTCGTCGTCGCTTTCCCAGGAGACCCCTGTGCGGTGCGGAGGGGGCGGCGGCCCCGGCTCTGACCCGCGCCGGGGGGTGGGCCATGGCGGAGATCAGCGACTTGGACCGGCAGATTGAGCAGCTGCGGCGCTGCGAGCTCATCAAGGAGAGCGAAGTCAAGGCCCTGTGCGCTAAGGCCAGGTGAGTTCCCTGGCCATGGGGAAGGGGTTCCGCTGCCCAGGGATTCTCGCCTAGGGGGTATCTAGCCAAGAACCTTGGGCCAGACTCATCGTGGAAACATTCCCAGAGAAGAGCAGACTCGGGCCACTTCCCTCGAAGAGCAGCCAGCTTGTTGGGGGAAGATGGACCTGGATAAAGACACTTAAAGTATTAGGTAATGTGTTTTCAGTGGAGTTAGAGAGTTATAGAAAGTAGTTAAGCTCAGGGAAACAACCCTATCTGTTGGGCCAACAGGAAGGGCTTTTTGAAGGAACTGAACTTTGGGGGTAGGCCTTGAGGAATAAGATGAAAAAAGGGATTACCAGCAAGAACAGAAGTCCAAGGCGGAAAAGCTAAAGACTGTGGTTTATAACATTCTTTTAGTTCCTGCAACAACCGTTAAAGTTGGATAGTAGTGTCCCGTTTTACAGCTGAGGACTCTCATGTTCAGAGTCAGCCAGCAAATAAGGGATAGAGTCCAAAGCCAATTCTCCGTGTTCTCTCATTTTCAGGCCATAATGCAAGTTAGTGTTGAATCGGTGTGGGAGCCTAAGACATGGTACCAAAAAAGCCAGAGTAGAATTAAGCATCATATGGACAGAGGACCAATTCAGAGTTCTGTGGGAAGTAGAATGATGTAGTGATTAAGATCCCAGGCTTCGGCCCTTAGAGTATTATTGCCCCGTGCACCAAAAGATTGTGGGTTTGATCCCTGATCAGGACACATATGTAGTTTCAGTCCCCATTCAGGGGGTGTACAGGAGGCAACGGATCCACACATATCTGTCTGTCTGTTTGTCTGTCTGTCTCTCCTCCTCCCTGCATTCTCTGTCTCCCTTCCCTCTCTGCTTTTCCTCTTAACTGTCTGCGTTTCCCCTCCCCTCCTTCCCTCTCTCCCTCCATTCCTCTCTCTCTGAAAAATCAATAAACATATGCTCAGGTGAAGGTTTAAAAAAAAAAAAAGATCTTGGGCTTTGGAATGTCATGGCTGTAGGTCAGAATCTGAGCTCTGCAACTTAGTAGCTGTATTGGTGATCTTGAGGTCTCTGAAACTCAGTTTTTTCATCTGCAAAGTGGGAAGAATAGTACTTAATAAGATAGTTATGAAGAGTCAGTAAGTTAGTGCTTGGGATGGACCTACCATAGTACTTTGGTACAATGTAAGTGCACAACAGCCCTTAGAAGTTGTTATTATTACAATACTGTGTAGAAAGAGTGCAATGCTGATGTGCTGATACGAACTGAAGACAGTGGGGAAGTCTTCTAAGAGAAGATGAAAATAATTTGGATAACTAATGGGAGCAGGGCCAGTGAGGAAGGCATTCCAAGCAGAATGATAGTAGGAGCAGAGGTCGTGAGATACATGGGCAAGAGTGAGGAGACCAATTATCTGCCTCCTCTAAGGCACTGTCTGACTGTTGCTTCCACCAAACTGGAGAATTGTGAGAAAAGAGCCAGCAGAATTACCCGACATTTATCGAACAGTAGGCCCACTACTAGCCTGGCTTTGTCCTGGAAAAGAATTTCTATCCATTTTCTCCCTGCAGCAGTCTTCTGAGGTTGGAATTATTTGCTCCATTTTACAGAATAGGTCATGATTCCTAGAATCCTAGTGACCTAAGGTCACCCAGAGAGAAAGTGACAGAGCTGTGTTCTGAACTTGTGGCCGTCAGGCTCTTCAGTCTCTTTGCTTGGCTTTGCCCCCACCCCCACCGCACCCTGGACCTGTAGCTCCCTGCGTGGGTTTGGTGAACAGGCAAAGCCCCTTTTTAAATACTGGTCTGTGGCTTTTCCATGTTTTGTCTGCTTCCTCGGCCTTGATTGGTATTTTTAGGAACTTAAATCAATTGCTGCCTGGCACCATTCTTTTTTCTTTAAGTCTCATCCCCCGATGTAGGACCTGGATCAGTTTGGTGGTGGTGATAGCTGATGCTTGGATAGCATGGTGGAGTTTCCAGAATAACAGAGAAGTTATATATATAGTCTCCATTGTTCTTTGCAGCAGGCCAGTGAATAGGCAGGGCAGGGGTAAGTATTTCACAGAAAAGAAAACCAGGCCTCAGAGAAGATAATGTCTTGCCCACAGTTTCACAGCTGGTTGGAGGAGGGGGGGTGGTTTTGGATCCAGGTCTTTTACTGCGCACCATGCTCATGGACAGCCAGATGGAGACTTTCAGCCTGTGTGAGAGGTAGCAGGGAGCTTCAAAGAACTGAGGTGAGAAGGTTCTGCACAGTTGAAACTGAGATGGAGCTAGGACTGAACTGAAGCCTGAGTTGGCCACTATCATCCAAGGCCCAGTCTGAAGAAGGGCCAATTCCAGAACCTGGCCGTGGCACTTTCTAGAGACCCACGAGGGACCTAGAGCAAGACTGGTAGTGTCAAGAGCTTCAGCTTGCTCAGGGGGTATACAGATTCAAACGCTGGGACTTAGAGGCCTGAAGTGTGAGAGCCAAAAAGTTCGAAGGGCAGGTTGGTTGGTTGGTTTGCTTTTTGTTTTAATTTTCACCCAGGGATATTTTTATTGATTTAGGGGAGAGAAATATTGACGTGATAGAGCAACATGGATTAGTTGCCTCCCATATGTGCCCCAACTGGGGGTTGAACCCACAGCCTTTTTGATGTATGGGAACAGTGCTCCAACCAACTGAGCAACCTGGCCAGGGCTGAAGGGCAGAGGGTTTTGAATCAAATGGTCCTCAGTATGAATTCCATCTCTGAACAATATGACCCTGGTCAAGTTACTTTATCTCTCCACGTCTTTGAAATCTTTAGGAAACTCAGTGAGATTCTTCATATCCAGGGACAGGCCCTGGCACTTTAGTAAGTGGTTATGAAAGTCATGTTAGTTGTGGAAGTAAAGGTGAGCAGGTATGAGCCTGAGAAGGCTGGCGATGTGCTGCAAGTGACAGAGATAGAGTTGGAGGCTGGTCCTTGTTCCAGACCATGTTGGGGCTTTACTAGCACTAAGGTGGGGTTTTGACTCGGAGTCTGGAAGGGGCTGGCATAAATTCTCAGGGGTTGGGCTCCTAGGTTTCAAATCAGACACTCTCTAACCTTGGGATCTTGATACTGTCCCTTTTTTCTTAAATCCTCAGTTTCTTGTCAGATGAGGATGAAAAGAAGCTTCCCAAGTCAGTTGGAAAGGTCATTATAAACAGTTGATTTGGAAGGTTGTTCAACACAAGGTGTAGTACAGGTGGGAGGGCCTACATTTACTGAACAACGGGCTCACTATTAGCCTGGCTTTGTCCTGGCATGACCCCTGAGGCTACAGCCAGTGGCTTCTCCCATTCCCAGAAAGTCAGAGCACACCTCCCTAGAGCTACATTTGTCATGAAGAGTACCCGGAGCGACCTACAGGAAACCCTGAGTTGAGAGGGGCCTAGTTTAGTGGGAGGAGACAGAAAGAGAGGGCTGAGCAAGTAAGTGCCTGGACCACATCAGAGTGGCTTGGTGAAAGAGCTCCTCATCCTGGAGCCAGGCTGCCTTGGTTCAGGTCCCACCTGTATGACTTCAACCATTTCCTTCATCTGAGAAGTAGGAGTCATCACAGTGCCTGCCTTTGAGGGCGGTGGTTTGATTGCACACATCATTCATGCAAAGCTCTTACTATAGTCCTGGCACGTGGTGTGAACTGGAATGTTCACTGCTGCTAGTATCAAGGATAAAATCTGGAAATAATGGTACTACTTAAATGGGGTGTCTGAACCCGACAGTGGTTTTATGTCATGCTCACTGAAGTAGAAGTAGACTGCACTGCAAGGAGAGATGAAAGAATGAAGTCCTCACTTCCTCTAAATCAATAATGAAAAAGTAGGAACAGCATATCATTTTGAAGATTACTTTGAGGACTGGCCTGCCCAGGACAAACGCCTGTATGCCTTTGGACAGGCCTGGAGCAGATGGGTAGAGAGGGACTGCAAGAGCCCAGCCAAGGGCACAGTGTTGGGCGCTCCAGGCTGAGGGACTTGCGGGAGCAGAGGGCTCTGTGGAGAGGAGGAGATCTGTTTTCTGGGAGTGCTGAACTCATGAAAGGAAGCAGTGAGGTTGGGGTGTGGTCAAGGCTGGGAAAGTCACAGCCTACTCAGAAAGGCTTTGAAAGCTGGAGCAAGTGTTTGGGCTTTGGCCCGTTGACAGTAGGGGAACCACGGAAGCGTGTTGAGAGCAGTCGGGGCTGTGGTCAGCCTATCCTGGAGAAATTGCACACCTCACTCCTGCCCTGTAGAGGTTCAGGGACTGCTCCATATCCTCCCCACCCCCTGTAAAAAAAGGTCAGGGATTGGGCTGGCCTGGCCTGGCTCTGGTGACCCTGGTCTTCTGTCTCCAGAGAGATCTTGGTAGAGGAGAGCAACGTGCAGAGGGTGGATTCGCCAGTCACAGTGAGTATCCTCAGTCCCTCCAGAGCCTAGCTAGGTCTTTTAGGCACAAATACATTCCCTGTAGTCTTGTGGGCCCTCTCATCCTTGGGAGCCCCATCTTCAAGGGAACCTCACTAAACGAAATGGATGTTTTGGGAAGGGTCTTTTGATTTGTTGGAGGGGTACTCTTGGTCAGGGCAGAAGGACTCTTAATGTGGTGAGTGATTCTATGCCATGTGTTTCTATGTGTTCTTTATAATTAGTAACTTTATCGTGAGTACATTAAGGGGAGTAGGAAAAGGAAGGGCCGGGTCCTCCAGGAGAGGAGGTCCCCCTGGAAAGACCTGGCTCTAGCTCTTGCCTGGGGAATAGTTGGCCCTCAGAGTGGGATGGAGGTTGATTCCAGACCAGCCTAACCGGGGTGGGAGAGTAGATTTTGGGCCCTAAAAAGTAGAGGCTTGGCCAAGAGTGATAATTTGAAGATAGCCCCTGAGAGCAGAGGCTTTCAGACCGAGTCCCCATCCACCTTCTCACTTCCCAGGTATGCGGCGACATTCATGGACAATTCTATGACCTCAAGGAGCTGTTCAGAGTGAGTGTGGGTGAACACTGGGGAGGGTGACTGGAAGACCCCTTTGAGAGGGAAAGTTTTGAATTTGGTGAGTGGAGTAGGGGCAAGAGGCCTCTAGTTAGGTGGGCCCTTTTTGAAAGAAGGGCTTCAACTTGACTGAAAATGGGCCACCATAGGGAGTAGGGGACAGTTTAGGACCAAGCAGAACCTTCTCCCTCCCCCCAGGTGGGTGGCGACGTCCCTGAGACCAACTACCTCTTCATGGGGGATTTTGTGGATCGTGGTTTCTACAGCGTTGAAACGTTCCTCCTGCTGCTGGCACTTAAGGTGGGAACTGCTGTCTTCTGGAGCCCAGACCTGGGCCACCTCAGGCCTGACCAGTCTGCGTCCTTTTCGCCCTCCTCTCCTGCTTCATCCACCCCCAACTCTGAGCTGTGCTGCTGGTGATGACAGATTCTGCTTGGCAGGGGTGGTCCTGGAAGTTTTCCTTGACTTGGGGGCATCTGATTGGGCTCCTAGAGGATGAGGTCAGAGGAGTGGCGTTGTAGGGGGAGGGAATAAAGGCTCGGTGTGTTCAGAAAGTGACAAGGGGTTGAGTTCAACTGGGTGCAGACAGCATCCACTGGTGGGAGAGAGGTTGTAAGAAGCCAGATGACAAAGTGCCTTGAATGTCCTGCTAAGGACTTGGTCTCTGTCTTGTAGGTTAAAAAAGGAGCCATTAGGTCTGTAGTTGATATGGGGTCGGGGGTCAGCTTTGTATTCTCTGGAGGAGGGACTGGGAGCCTGTGAGGTGGGTGCAGTAAGATTCATGCAGATGACATAAATCTGGGGCGGGGTGGCAGTGATGAGGATGCAGCGGGGAGCTCTAGGAGGAAGGGGCAGAGCCTAGACCCCAGCCCTGGCTTGGTGATTACCTCCAGGTCCGCTATCCTGACCGAATCACCCTGATCCGGGGCAACCACGAGAGCCGTCAGATCACCCAGGTCTACGGCTTCTATGATGAGTGCCTGCGTAAATATGGCTCGGTGACCGTGTGGCGCTACTGCACTGAGATCTTTGACTACCTCAGCCTGTCAGCCATCATTGATGGCAAGGTAGGCTGGCGACAGCTCCATGCGGATGGGAGGGATGAGAAGAGCCCTGGGCCCCACCCTTCCCACCCTCCTGCCTTGCTCTCCCCTGTAGATCTTCTGTGTGCATGGGGGCCTCTCCCCTTCCATCCAGACCCTTGACCAGATCCGGACAATCGACCGAAAGCAAGAGGTGCCTCACGATGGTCCCATGTGTGACCTGCTCTGGTCTGACCCTGAAGGTGAGTGCAGGTGGGGCAGGTACATCCGGGCTTTACCCTTAGTTTGGCAAGAGACTAAGGGAGCCCCTTGGTTAAAGCAAATACCTTGAAGGGACAGTCAGGCCAGGTATGTTGGGGGAAGAGTAGAGCCAGCTGGTCTTCACTGGTGTCCGTGCTTGGCCTGAGGACTGGCTGGTACTGTCAGAGCGGGAATGTGGGTAGCTGGGTGCTTTGAGCTCTGGCAGAAATAGCGCCTGTATGTCAGAGTTTCATTTTGTTTGTTTGTTTGTTTGTTTTTTAAATATTTTATTCATTTTTAGAGAGAAAAAGGGAAGGCAAAAGAGAGGAAGAAAAACACCAATGTGTGGTTGCCTCTCATGCGCCCCACACTGGGGACCTGGTCTGCAACCCAGGCATGTGCCCTGACTGGGAATCAAACCAGGGCTCAGTCCATTGAGCCACACCAGCCAATGCTCAGAGGCTTAAGACAAAATTTTTGGCTCTCTGTATATAAAGGGGCTTCTGTAGAGGTCGGATACCCCTGAGGAATGATAGACCCCTGAGAACCCCTCATTTTGTGGGGTTCCCCAGCTGGTATGGAGCAGAGCTGAGATTAAACACCAAGTATCCTAGGTACCAGTGCAGGGCTCCTTGTGCTATAACTAGCATGCACCCGCGCACGCGCGCGCGCGCACACACACACACACGCACGCCTCCACTCTCTTACGGCCACGCCCGACTGCCCTCTTACTGCTCCCAGACTAGCTGTGACAACCCCTTGTTCACACTTGCTATATCGGCGTGATTCTTAGGAGCACCTCCTTTTACTCTCCTGTGCCTAGTTGGACAGTAAATTAGTTGCATAGTCATTCTGACTCTATGAGGTGGCGCCAACTATCAGGAAAGTCTTTCCTCATTGGAGCTTAATCTGCTTCAACATTTGCTTCCTGTCCCCTAGGATACTCCCCCAAACCCCCCAAACACATTCAGGCCCTGTCCTGTTGCCCCACAGGCCTGACTGGGGGAGGAGGGCAGGATATTCTTGGAAGGTCAGTGGGCAGTCAGAAAAGCCTTGCAGGACACCTCTCCCCATCTCTACCTTCATTTGCCTCAGACACAACAGGCTGGGGTGTGAGCCCCCGTGGGGCTGGCTACCTATTTGGCAGTGACGTGGTGGCTCAGTTCAATGCAGCCAATGACATTGACATGATCTGCCGTGCCCACCAACTGGTGATGGAAGGTTACAAGTGGCACTTCAATGAGACTGTGCTCACCGTGTGGTCGGCACCCAACTACTGCTACCGGTGAGCTGCCTGGGTCAGGAGGTCACAGTTGGGGGTGGGGACCTAGGCTGACACACACTAACTGCTGCTCTCTGACCTCCAGCTGTGGAAACGTGGCAGCCATCCTGGAGCTGGATGAGCATCTCCAGAAAGATTTCATCATCTTTGAGGCTGCTCCCCAAGAGACACGGGGTATCCCCTCCAAGAAGCCTGTGGCTGACTACTTCCTGTGACCCTTTTGGTCCCTGCCCTCCCCTCTCCAGCCCCTCTGGCCCTTGGACCACTGTGATGCTACCTTCTCCAGATGGAGGCTGGGCATGGAGGGCTGTCCCCAGCTCTGCTCTCCCCACAGAGGGCACTTCGATGGTGAGGACTTTTCTCTGGAGAGGCTCGGAGCCGCCGCTCCATGCTCCTCCTCTCCTTTCTCCCCACCTGAACCATGAAGTTCCCAATAATTTTTTTTCTTTTTTTTCCTTTTTTTTTTTTTTTGTTTGTTTTTAGATAAAAATTTTGAGAAAAAGAAAAAATTCTAATAGAAGGTACAGTCTTTGGATTTGTGTCAGACTTGATTGGGGATGAGTAGTGATGCTGGCCTGGGACCTTGACTGCCCTGGAGCCTTAGTCCCAATGGGAAGGTGAGGCTCAGGCCAGTTCACATGCCCTGAGCCTCCTGGTCCCCATCCACTGATAGTGACCGTTCCTGAGGGCTCTCTTGAGTTCTAGGTAGAGGGCTGGGTTCACAGAAGACAGCCTTATTTGATTCTCAAAACAACGAATGTCTCAGGACGTCGATTCTGCCATTTTCTTGAAGAGGAGCCAGGCCCAGGGCAAGTGGATTTATGTATGTGCACAAGATCAAGCAGCTGGAAATGGCAGGCCTAGAATAGGGTGGGGGTCTCCCCATAAAACCTTTGCTTACCCAGTCCCTCCCAGGACCAAACACCATTAGCCCAATGTTTCCAGAGCACTGATGTCTTTTGAGTTTTATTAACAAAAATACTCTGGTCCTGAGAACAGACTGGTGTGTCTCACACGGGAGCCAGGAGGTAATGACTAGCTGAGCCCAAGGGTGAAACCCAGGAGTTGGTAGTGCTGGCCCGAGGCCCCATTTGGCCAGGCAGAGCCTCCCTCTATTCACACCGAGGTGAAAGTCGGGAAGGGGAAACTGGCCCCAGCTGGACTCCCAGCAGCTTAGCTAGAGCTTTGAAGCCAGAGGGGGGTGGGAATGAAGTCAAAGTGTGAAGTGGGGTGGAGGAGGACCAAGGCAGCCATTTGGTGTGGGGGATGGGGCTAGTGGAAGTGGAGGGGCTACAGGCCTGGGGGAAGGGGACTGGAAATTTGTGATGGCAGACTGCAGGAGGGAGGCAGAGGGGCCTAGCAATGGCTCAGTACATAGGCTTGGAGCCCACATCCAGGTAGGGCCCGGGCCCAGGGTAGGGTAAGGGCAAGGGGCCCCCGTGGAGGAAATGTGATGCAAAGGGTGCTGGGTGTGCAGCTGCTGGGTATCCTGAGCCTCCTGGCCCAGACTGCAGCTCTAGGGATGCAGCGGAGTAGGGGGCTGGGCATCCCGAGTCTGGAGCCTGAGGAAAGCTGGGGTTCCTGAAGTGGAGAAAGGTATCAGAACGGGGAAGAGGGACCCCCAAACTGGAACAACCCAGCCCTGTGCCCTTGTCACACTCACCTGGTTGGAAGGTGACTGGGGGCCCCATGAAAAGCTGCAGGGTGCAGAAGGTAGGCCTCAGCACTGGAGCTCCCACATGGAGGAGCTGGAGCGGCTTCCCTGATTGCTGGAACCTGCTCTGGATCTGACTCACGAATATCTCCACCCAGTGTGGAATCACAGGGACCACCAGGTGCATCTGGGGAGGCAGAAGGAACAGGTTGGGCTAAGGAGGATCAGCATCTCAGGCTTGGCCCCGTCACCGTTGGGACTATACTCACCTCCACTCCCATAGGCCTCTGCGGCTGCTGGCTCTGGGCCCCGCAGTTTTCTCTTAACACGAGCGTCTCGTTCCCTGGGAAATACAATGATAATAGCACCAGGAACCAGGCATTCACTCTCCCAGGGACCCCATCAGGTTTTACTATTATACCTGTTTTACAGATGAAGGAACTGAAGGCCAGAGAACTAAATGACTAGAAAGCAGAGGTGGGACTGACTCCACACTTAGAACTTTCCAGTGGTTTCCTGTTGCATTGAGAATCAGTGGAAACTTCTTCCAAAGCTACTAGGCTCATCCCACCTTGCTCTCTGGCTATATCCACTGCCTGGCAGGTCCCTTTTCTGGCTTCTCTACATCCCCTTAACTCATCCTTGTTGCAGTTCACCCATAATTTCCCCAAGAAGTCCTCTGACCTCCCACAACACCACATACCCTCCCTGATAACATTTGTCAAGTTACATTGTTATATTTGTTGGGTAATCTTCCAATTAATGTCTGTCTCTCCTGCTTTGAGGGCAAGGGCCAGCTCAGGGGGCTGTACTCAGCATAAAAGCCAAGGTCCTAACTAAATTTCACCCCTATGTCACTCCAGCCACAGTGCAGGTATGTTCCCACCTCAGAGCCCTTGAACATGCTGGTTCCACTCCGGCATGCTGTTCCCAAATATCCACATGGCTCCCTTCCATATTTCCTTCAGGTCTTCCCTCAAATGTCTCTTCTCAGTGAGGCCTTTCCAGGTGTCGGCTAATAATCTCATTCCGGTTCTGCCTGCCTTGCTTTATTTCTTTTATCTCTAGAACTTATCCCTAATATAACTTATTTCTCTTGTTTAGCTGTTTACTCTGCCTACCAGAGTATTAGTTCCATGAGAACAGGGCTTTGGTTTGTCCTGTTTACTGATGCATCTGTTGTGCCTAGAACTGTGTTTGGCACATAGTAGGTGCTAAATGTGTGTCAAATCAATGAATGAATAAGTGTTTTTGCTTACCAGTCTGTTCCTGGCATCCAGCACAGTGCCTGGCACATAGTGGACAATTAATAAACATTTGTTGAGTTAATGAGTGAATGAATAAATGATGCCCACCTCTTACAGTTTCTGCCATTCTCCCGGAAACCCTTGGCAAAGGGGTTGGCTGCAATCTTCAGTTGGGTGATCTGGGGGCACACATTCAGAGTCAAAGCTCCTGCAGCCTGGTCAGTGTACCACCACCCACCACCCCTTGTGACATCGGGGTCCTCATTTTCCAGGCTGTACCCGCCCTGCCAGTGACTACAGTGTAACCGTGAGTAAGTCTCTTTGTAAGAGCATGCTATAGAGGCCATCACCAACACGGGACAAGAAACACCCCCTCAAGCAGGGTCACTCACCCGGGGGTTCTGGTAAGCTGTCACAGAGATGAACATGGTCTCAGGGAAGCGGAAGGAGGCCACACCCCCCCAGTGTTGGCTGCAAAGCTGGGCAGCCCGCACTAGGTGTATGCGGGGCTGATACTTGTGCATGGAGTGTAAAATCAGCTGGGAGGGAAGAAACAGGAGTGACCCCTAGCCCTGGGCGCCAGGCCCCCCCCCCAACCCCCCATCCTGCGGTCCCAGCCTGGGCCTCACGTGGCCATGAGGGTCCAGTGTGCTGTTGGTGAGCTTGACACGATGAAAAGACACAGGCTGCCGCATCCAGTGAGCACCAGTGGCAGGGGAGTCGGGGTGAATGTAGACACGGTCAGGCAAGCGGGGCTCTGCCTTGCCGCTGGGCTCCCAACGCCGACCCTGCCAACGATAGCGAGCTCCATCCACTGGCACCACATCCAGAAGGAACAGGTAGCGGGCTTCGGGGTCCAGGCCAGTGACTGATACTCGGCAAGCAGGGAACATACGTCTGGATGGGGGAGAAGATAGGAGAGGCCTGGAGCAACACACCAGCCAGAGGCAGGTACAGCACCAGCAAGGAGGCAGAGCCACCAGCTCACAGAGTTTTGTCAAAGAACATCCAAACTGGAGTTAGAACCAGGGGCAAGTTCTGGAAGCTCATTTCATCCCATTTTATAGACTGGAAACAAAAGAGATGGGTTAGATGAACTGACTAGGGTCAGAGCTTCGACTCCTGACTCCTGGCCCCTCAAAATCCATTTGCAGAAGCAGGGGTGACACATTTTTCTCTTGGAAATCTTGCCAGGAGCCTCCTTACCTGATAACCAGCACCAGAATCTACAGCTGCAGTACAAACTTGCTTCAGAGGGGGAAAAAAAAAAGCCCTGCTCTCAATGGGACAGAAGACACCATGCTAGATAGGGGCTGAGCTCCTGGCCTAAAGACCACCCCCACACACACACCAACCAAGGCCACACACTGACCATATTCCTGCCACTAGGGTGACTGTGGACCTAGTCACATACTGATAAACCCTAACCCTAACCCTGATCCTAGCCAGATTTCCCTGATGCTGGTCACTGGCTGGCCCTTGACCCTAGTCATAGTCTGAACCCCAACTGTAGCCACAGACTAACCATCTAAGTTATAACCCAGCCGGGTTTTCTGACCATGGCGGAGACTGACCTATGACCCTTGCCATAGATTGGTACCTAAGTCAGTCACAGACTAAATATCCTCCGCAACATGACCCCTGATCCAGTCACTGAGTAATCCAGGCCACAATCACATTCTGAACTTAGGCAGAGCTCTAGTCCCCACTAGAAACCCTCAAACCCAGCCCCATCACCAGAAATTCTGCCTTTCCCAAGAGACCCCCACCAGAAATACACTAGGTCCTTTGACCTCACCTCCCAGCTTTGGTGATGATCATCTCTGTTCCCACGGAATTAAACTCTTTCCACAGGTCCTGGTTCTCCAGGCTCAGGCTGACTCCAGGGAGTGAATGAAGGGCCTCTGGGGCTGAGGGGGGTTGCTCAGTGCCCAGGGCTGGGGGCAGAGAGTGCAGCGGTGGGGGAGCAGCGAGGGTGCGGGAAGCAGCCTCAATACCCGAGAGGAAGCAATCCAGTTTGGGAGTGTCCAAATCTGGAGATGGGGGGAGAATGAAGAGCCAGCCCAGGGTCACAGCACCTCCCCCCAATCCCTACATAGGAGCTCGTCCCAAAGCTCACCAGGATAGCGGTAGCCCTCTGCCAGGGCAGGCGGGAAGCTGGAATCAGCCACTGGCTGGGGGGGGCCAAAACGGTAGCCGGTCCCCAGTGAGGGGTACAACTCTCTTGGATGATACATGGAGCCTGGCCTCAGAACACACTGCCTACAGTCCCCTGGTGCTGAGAGATACCCCGCTTTATAGCTCACAGCTCAGCCCCTTCCAGACCCAGAATCACAGCCCCTCCCTCTTTGAGGCCCTGGAGTTGGGCTGGGGTGGAGACCCCTGGGGCCTGGAAGGGGTCCCAGAGGGGGCCGGATACCTGGGTACCTTTTTTTCACCCCTCCCCCCAGGCTTCATTAGCCTCGACCCCCTGCCCCCTCATTACATAATTAACTCCTCGGCCTGATTGATCCCCGGTGCTTGGACAGGGACGCAGTTTGGCGCTTCCGGCCAGCTGGTCCCCGTTCCCACGGGGGGAGCCCCAGCTAGGGATAAGCTACTGGGGGGCGGGGCCTGGACCCTGGGATGGAACCTGGAGTCCTGGGGCAGACGTTGGCGCCTCAGACTTTTCTGGCAGGTGACCCACCTCCTTCCCCACCCCTCTCCTTGCCCCCCATTTCGGGGCTTGGAGGGACAAGCGTGACTGGAGAAAAACAGCAGGGCTGGAGGGACGCAGCCTGAGCATATTGCTTCACAGAGCACTGGAGTCCTCAGCCGAAGGCCGAACCCTTGACGTCTGTCCTTGTTCTCATTCTCCACCTTCATCCAAGTCTCAAAAGTTTAGCAGTCCCCAACAGCTCTAGCCTGACTGGATGGCACCTGGGTTTCCCAGGTCTCGTGCTGGGGAACCCTAGGAACTACACTTCCCAGCAGGCCCAGCGTCCACTTGGGCGCAGAGAAGATCGAGGGATACCGCTGGGGACACTGGAGGTTGTAGTCCGAGAGTTGTCCCTGGGTGGTGGCAAAACAGAGAAGACGCGGACCAGCTGAGGTCAAGGTCTATGGAGCTACAGTGGGCTCGGGAATCACAACCCGTCCTGGGTCCTAGAAAGGATGGCTGAAGCCAGGCCCCAGGGGCGCAGAGGGCCACCTTTGACCACGGTGTCTACCCACTGCCACATTGGGGCTCAGAAGAGAATGGGTCTATAGAGGCAGGAATCTGCACTTGAGATCCCCCTTCCCGATTCCACACGAGCCTCGGGCTGTCTCCACTCCATTGTTTTATTATATACAAACGCTACAGAATAAGGGGAGCAGACACGCGTGCCGTAAGAGGGGCCCAGTGGGAGTTCACAGGGCAGATGGTGCACTGGGCTATGAGGACTGCACACAGGCCGTATCTATAGGATAGGCGGGACAGGAAGAGGTTAAAAAATGAGATCCAAGCCAGCCAGATCGCAGGGAGGTGGGGGGGGGGGGTGTCGTCCACCTTCTGATCTCCCCCCAAGGTCACAGTGCATGCAGTAAAATATAAGTACAGGAGCTGGATCCGTCCTCTGCAGAGGCTCTGAGGGTCCAGAACTCCCTTCTGGCAGCGAAGGGAAGCCAGTGGCGCCCCCTGGCGGCCAGGCCTGGCTGGAGCCACATGCGGAAAGAGCAGGGATCAGTCCCAGCCATTGTCTTTGATCATGTGGTTGAGTTCAATGATGTACTTCCCTTCTTTGTACTTCTGGCTGCTCTCGAAAGCTTGTTCCTGAAAGGAGGGGAGAGGCTGTCATCCTTAGAGCAAGGGCCTTACCCACAGGGATAGGGCTTGGGGCATTGATATGATTGGGCCCATTTCATATATGAGAAAACTGTCACCCACAGAAGCGAAACCGCCTGCCCTCAGACAGAGCTGGTGAGTGACAGGGCCAAGTTTCTCACTAATGGGATAGACAGAACTCTTTGAATCATGGGTACTGTTTAAGTACTACTGTTGGCTCCAACAATGATGATATAGAAGTTTCTACAAGATCCAGGGATTACAAACTGGGAGCCCGAAGGCCACTATTGGCCTACATGTGTGTTTTGTTTGTCCAGCAGAGAGTATAATAAAAATAACTTTGAGCCCTGGCTGGTGTGGCTCAGTGGTTTGAGTGCCAGCCTGCTAAGTGAAAGGTTGCTGGTTTAGGGCACATGCCTGGGTTGCAGATCAGGTCCCAGTTGGGGGTGTGCAAGAGGCAACTGGTGGACATTTCTCTTGCACATCAATGTCTCTCTCCCTCTCTTTCCCCCTATATCCAAAAGTAAATAAAGTCTTTAAAAAAAAAAACAAACCCCAACTTTGAAATACTAGCATATAGGCAGGCCATGCTCACTCCAGCATGGCACAGGCTGATCCTCTCAACTCCCCAATCTGCATCACCGCTTTTGCAGATCCACAGTATCTGCATGGGCCTGAGAGCACTTGAGTTTTTGACCTCTAAACTGGCCACCTCTTTATTTTACAGAGGTCCAGAGAAGCCAAGTCACCTGTACAGGGACACAAAGCAAATCTGTGGCAGGGCCAGCGGTGAACTCAGGTCAGGGCTGTCTCCCTGTCTCTGCCTGGGGCATCCACATCACCAAGGCACCACAGCTCCAAGCAACAGCAGTTTCCCAAGAGCATCTTCTTTTGTTGCATCTAATCTGATCTCCATAACAATCTTAGGTGCCAGGTGGTGGCTTTATCCTCCACTGCCAGATAAGGAAATGAGACTCAGAGTAGTGAAATCAGACCCTGGACAGCAGTAGTGGCAACGAGGGCAGTGGAAAAGGAGGCACATGGACCCAACGGCCGTGCTGCTGTGGGGTCTTGGGCAATGGTTTTGATCTTCGGAATGGTAATGGAAACTGGTTTCAAGGGTTTAGAGTTCAAAACAAAACGAAGTAGGATTCTGGTCCCTATTCTGTTACTTGCTGGATGTGTGACCTTGGGCAAGTTACGTAACATCTCTGGGCCTTCCTTTCTTCTTCTGTAAAGGAAAGATAATAATAGACTCTACCTACAGGATTGTTGTAATGATTGAATGAGATAATGGTATATGCCAAGCACATAATAGTGCACAGCAACGAGCCTTCATTAAATGGTAACTGATTGTATCATCATCTCTAAAATGGGGAGGCTTGCGTCTGTGAGGAGAAGGATCGGTTAAGAAAAGAATTCTAAAAGCCTTTGCAGGATGTGAGAGAAGAAAACATGGTCAGGGGATGAAGACTGTTTGACTTGTGTGACCTGGGCCTATACACTCTGAAAGATTATCAGACGACTGCTTGTGATGTGAGGTCATGTCAAAGGCTAGCCTCGGGTCAGGGTCACTGACTCACATATTTCCAGCCCAAAGTGGTCTTGCAGTTCTCGCAGTGGATGTCAGCGACAGCATGAAGGCCTGTCAGCAGCACCCGCTCCTCGGCTGGCCCGCAGCCCACGTTCACCCTGTGGGGATATGGGGGCAGTCCCAGGGAGGGTCCCATCACAAAGCCCACCTCTAGCTTGTCTCCAGCAGTGTCTGTCCTTAGCTTCTTGCCTGAACCAGGGGATTTGGGGAGTCTCAGCAAGATGCCATGGGTCACAGGTCACAGGAGAGGTCAGGGAAAGAAAAGAAGGGAGGGCACATACTCACACAGAATTGAAGAGGTAGGCACGCCCCTGACTGCCTTGGAAGGACTAAAGGATGGAAGGGAGAGAGGAGGGAGGCAGGGTTACTGTGGAGAGCTGCCATGCAGTCCCTCTAGCCTCCCCTTCCAGCCCCAACGGTGACCTGGTTACCTTGGAGATGAGGTCGTCGTGGTTGGCCAGGTGAGCACGGCAGTGGGCACAGCTATACCTCCGGTGACAATCATCCAAGTAAGCCTGAAATGTCTTGGGCTTCGAAATCCGCACCATGGCGGGGGCTGGAGGCAATGGCCCCACTCGGGGAGCAGCCCACGGGGAGCAGAGAGAGCCCAGTGCCTGTCGAAGAGGGAGTGAGTGGATTGTCAGGACCCCAGCCACACATATGCAGCCCCACCCAGGGCCATGGGGAATCTCTCTCTCTGTCACACTTGGCTGCTGTCTTCTCTCCCCAGAGCCAGCAGCCTCTCCAGGGGCCAGAGCCGTCTCAGTTTTGACTCACTGAGGAGGCCTCAAGTTACATCAGCGGGTAAACTGAGGCTAGGAGGAGCCCCCGATGAGTCACCCACCTGCTTTCGGCCTCACCCCTGCTGACCTGGCAACTGAAACTGGAGGAGGGGGCTTTAGAGTGGATGAGCTGTCAGTTCTCTGTTTAGAGGAGCTTGGAGAGGTTAGGAATTGGATGGCTTTTAGGACCTCATCTGAACTGTGGAGGGCGGAGCTAGGGGGCGACTTCACTTAAGGTGCGGGAGTTCACCTGGGGAGATGGTCCCTCACCTGGAGAGGGCTGGAGGCCTCACTGAAGTTGGAGGGTCCCTGAAGAGGGGAGGGGCTCTTACCTAGGGACGCTGAGGCCTTGTCTATGCCGAGGGACTCTTTAACTGCATCCGCGGAAACTTACCTGAGACCGCGGGGCTCACCTGGGGCGCGGATGTGGGGGACGGCCGCCCGCGAAGGGGGCAGTCCTCGCTGGCGGACGGGGGTGCTGGGCGACGCGCAGCCCTGACGATGCGGTCCTCACCTCGCCTGTGCGGGCGGGAGCCCGGTCCGCCGGGGTGGCTGGCCTGGGAGTAGGGGGCGCTCCTGGTGGGCGCCGTCCCCCCCCCGGCCCGGGTTCCCAGTCGCCGCGACTTGTTTACACCGAGACCAGCTGCTGCCGTCGCAGCGGCGGGAGGGGGAGGGGGCAGGCCCCTGGTCCGGGCAGTCGCCGTGGCCAATCGGTGCGCAGCATGCAAATGAGGGGGCGCGTCACACGACGGCCAGCGCAGGCCTGGACTACCCTTCCCCCTGCTCCGGGCTCGGGCCGGCCCGGAAATGCGGCTGCGGCTCGCGATCCAGCCAGCCGGCCCGCAGGGCCAGAATCCGGTTGTCCCTGTGCCTCGGGCGACTCTTGAAGGCGCACGAATCTGAGGTACCTGACCTGGCGTGGGATTAGGAAGGGGACACAGTAATCATAATTATCTGCGTTACCCACCACCTGTGCCTCACTCTTAATCCCCGCAGCAAATTCTGGAGGCAGCTTCTGCTATTGTTCTCATTTTACAAGGGAACTGAGGTCCAAGGAGGTTTAGCAGCTCTCCCGAGATTATCCAGCTAATAAGACCCAAAGCTGGGATTCTCATTTTGGTCCGAGTCCACGGCTTTGGCCTTGACACCAGGGACAGACTCTTGGAATGGAAGAGCTAAAGGTGTCCCTCGGTGTTAGACCCTGGGAGCCAGAGCCTGGGAACAAGCCAATTCCTACTATTGAGCATCACCTCCTCCAGGTGGTAGTCTCCTCTGATGCCCCTGTTCCCTCCAAGCTGAGTTGGTGTCTGCTGTGGGCTTCCCCCTTTCCCTTTCTCATCTCGGACTGTGTTTAAACATGCCCTCCATACTAAACTTGTTTGGTTCCTTGCAGTGACCCCAGAATCCAGCCTGGCCTAGAGTAGTCAATACACGTTTGTGAAATTTGTGCTTCATTAAGTGAATGGCATACTAGGGCTGGAGAGGGCTGAGGAATTCCAGGAGCTTCTGGAGTAGGAAACAGGAGTGGCAGGTTGGAATGGCTGAGGCAGCAGATGGGGGTGGTGCCATGAACGCAGCTGTCCCAGCCTTGCCCACCCTCTGCAGCCAGGCGAGGAGGTCCACAGGGGCAAGTCAAGCCCCTTGCTGTGTGCCCTGCACTCTTAATGGCCTCAGAATGGAATGGTAATCTGTGGCTCTGAAGGGACATTCCTGATGAGAGTAGAAGCCAGGCTGGCAAAGGGTGTGGTATCACTTTGGGTCTGGAATGCAGTGGAACCGGTGGGTCAGGTTAGTTAGGGCCCCAGACTCTGGCCTTAGGCTGTCCTGGGCCGTCTTGATTGCAGTTCAGTAGTATCTCCCACCACCACCCTCAAAAAAAAAATTTAAAAAAAAGCATGACTGAAAAGAAAATATTTATTGAGGAAGAGAGAGGAGAGGGCAAGGGCCTGCGGCTCAGGAGACTCTGTTGTCCAGGTAGCGCCTCAGGGCCGTGGGATAATCTGTGATGACGCCAGTGGCCCCCAGGTTGTAGGCCGCTTCAAAATCGGACTCTTCATTAAGGCACCAAAATATCACCTGAGTGGGGAGGAAGGCGTTCGTAGTTTCCAGCTTTACCTGGAACTCCCCCTTACATCCACAAGGTCAGAGCTCTCCTCTGTGGATACCACGCAGCAGTGGTGTGCTGGGGTGCTGATTGTTAAATTTCCAGAAATTTTGCAGGCTGTGTTGAACACAGCCATTATTAAATATTAAATAATATAAACTTGCAATTCAATAAGCTATATTAAAAACGAAAGTAATAAAAACTAAAAACTCATCACATCCTAATGATTTTACTATGTTTTGTCATCACCTGTGCTCTGGAGGTTATGTCTGTTGAATGTGCACAATGGAAACACTCTATAAGCATGTGCTACCTCACATCTTTTCCCAACTCTGTGTCATGGGTCAGTGACTTCATGCTGGTAGCCTGAAATTGGCTGAGGTAGAAGTATATACACCAGGGAAATGATCTAATGTTCAAATCAGGGAGCTTTCGCCCTCCTGGAGAGCTGGTTGTGGACTGGTTACCAGCATGGCAGTGCCCCACAGCCTGCCCGCACCTGCCACTGCTCTGCATCTTCCCTGACTCCTGAGTCCTTTTCTGTGGGCACTGACTTAGGTGGGATGGGATTTGTACCCTGGCAAGGCACTGGACCTCTCAGTTTCTTAGTGTGACAACTGAGAGTTACGGTCCAGCCTCCTAGAGTTGTGGCACAGCCCAAAGGAGTGGGAGGGCTGATCTCATTTACCACCCCATCCATGCCTCACTTACCGCCACGTCTAATCAGTGGCTTGTCTGTGAGTTAACTCTCCTACCCATCCCCACTGTTACTACCTCAGTCTCCTCATGAAACTCTCTGCTTCCACAATGGCGCCCACAATCACTTCTCCACATGGTAGCCAGGGGGACTCTCACTCAACAAATCTCATTCGGATCAGGTCTCTCTCCTCAAAAGCTTCTCTTCCCTTTGGGCTGAAGTACAGGCTTCTTACTGAGGTCCTTGGGTTGCCTGCCTCAACCTCTACTGCCTTCTCTAGCTCCCCTTATGCTGCTTCCTCCAGACTGCGGCCTGGTGGAAGCCCTCGCAGTTTCTCAGACTGCCGAGGCCTCTTGCTCCTCTGGGCCTTCCCACATGCTGAGCCTCCTGCCTGAGATGCTCTCCCTTGCCCCTCCCCTTGAGCCAGCTCCTCACTTCTTCCAGAAGGCCTTCTCTGACCCCACAGACCACCTCACTGTTTCCTTTCGGTCCACTACTTGCCCATGGTATGGCCTGCTTTATTCCCTTCCTCTGCCCTTGTGGTAACTCCCTACTCTATTCTCAGTACCATAGTACCTGGAACATATTCGCAACAAAATTTTGCTAATTAAATGATGTGGTCCAAGCTGATGCTCAGGGGAGCCGGAGCAGGTGGGCTTGGCTGGTTTCTGCCTTCTCTCTTCTTTGTCCAGTCCCTCTCAACGGGGATCGGGACAGTTCACTACAGCATCAGAATGGCTAGCATTTATCAAGCCCTTACTAAGTACCAGTTACATATCCAGAAGAATTAAATATATCACTATGCCCATTTACAGAATGCGAAACCAAGGCTCAAGGCGCCCAGCTAGTCAGTAGCAGAACTGTGATTGGAATGCTGTGCTAGGCGCATGCTGTGAACCAAGGGGGTGGTGGTCAAGTCTCACCTGCACTCCTCGTTGCTCCAAGTGTTGGATCAGACTTTTCCTCATAATAAGCCTGGTGGGGAGGAAGACAGCAAAGGCCAGCATGAGGTGGACTGAGGAGCAGGGCAGAAGCAGATCTCATGAGGACACTCCCCCCAGCCTTCTCGCCCACCTCACCATTTAGAAACCGCAGCTGCCAGCTGGTTCAGCACAGGGCTAGAGAATGGAAAGTAGGTCCTGCAGAGAGGTGGTATTGTGGTCAGTCCATGGGTCTCTCTCTGTCACAGGGGTGGGGAGTAGGGGTGGTAGTGATCCTGCCTAGTAAAACCTACTCCCTCTAGAAGAACCTTTCCAGTTGCCCAGATGAACAATTCACCCATTGTTCAGTGAGATCCTACTCCTACATCTTTGACTCCATGCTTTGAGGGTGTGCCCACGTCTCACCATTCTACTGAAGAGGAAACTGAATCCTGGAGAGCTATGTTAACTTGCCTGAGGTCACACAGAAAGTCTGTGATGGGGCCAGGACTGAAACCAGCTCGATTCCCAAGCTGGACACAGAATCTGGAGGTCCTCCTGCTTGGGTCTGACCAACTTCCTGAGACCCGACAGTGTTTAATGGGTCAGCTGCTTGCCCCTGATTGTCCTGTTCCAGAGGTGACTTTAGAGGCTCTTCACAATGTATGACCTCAAGCAAGTTACGGAACTCCTTTGAGCCTCAGACCCTCCATGGGTACTGTGGGGCCATGATTCCTGTACCTCCTGGGGATGCTGCAAAGTAAAGCTCAACTGCTGTACAGGATGTGAAAACAGTTTGTAAATCCTGTATAAAAAGTTATGTACACAACGTGCTGGGGTATAATGCTGTCTTTGTAGCAAAGGATTGTGGGTGCTGGCTGGGAGCTTCCCTCATGACCACAGAGGAGAGCAGAAGTCGCTGGAGCTGCCACAGAGAAGTTCTCTGAAAGCAAAGGGAAGTGCTTGGCATGAGAGCTGGTGAAGTATCCAAATTCCTGACACTTTACCCAGATGTTACTTTGTTAATCCTTGTCTCCCAACAGGAAAACACTTGCTTTTCCCTTTGAGAATCAGAGAGTGATACTATAATTAATTAACGTCCATCCACCTAGCCAGACTATGAGCTGAGGGCCTTACCCCACCCGGATTGGTCTTCACTAGTGTAACTGCACCTGGAAGCATAGCATTCAATAAATATTTGTTGGATGAATGGATGAAAGAATGAACCCATTTGTCCTGAAACTCCATCTATATCAACACATACTTACATTGAATTTCAGGGGGTTTGTGATCCCCTTAGTATTCATGAATGCTAGGTGAGAACCACTGCATTTAGAGCACCCTGGGGGGCATCCTGAGGGGAGCTGGGGAGCTGGGGCCCCTACAAAAATGGAGCTTGAGATCGGGAGGTGTTTTTCTGAAGAGAGAAGCAGCTGGAAGCGTGGGGGAGGAAGAAGAAGGGAGATGGGGACCCTGTGGGTACCTGTTGATGATGGTGGGCAGGAAGCACATGAAGAACTTCTCAGGGATAGGAATGAAGGGCAGTAGCCCCAGGTAATACAGCAGTAACAGCCAGAATCCTCGTTTCATTGTGAAGGAGAATGGCATCTCGGGGTTCTAGGAGGCAAGGGGAGGTGAGAGGGGGATCCGTCTGCTCCTGGGGAAGCTGAGAGGCTTGGGTTGCAGGGGGACAGTTTTTGGACACGCAGGAAGCCCCACCTACCTGCCGGGTCAAAGCCACATTTTGGCTCAGCACTCCAGGCCTAAATGCATCCTTCCGGTTCCCACCAGCATGACTTTACTCACATACTTTCTCTACCACCTCACCTCTCCAAATCCTCCAGAGCCCCCCAAACCCTTCTAGCCTGGGATGAGGGGCCACTAGAGCAGGGAGGGAAAAGGGACTCACGGCAGCCTTGCACTTCTTCATGACTGAGTTCTTCTCTGAGGCCCAGATGGTGATTTCATTGCGGTCATAGTGCCTCACCAGACTGGCTATCTGGAAGGAAGAGAAATGATGAAGGGGAGGTAGGCCTCCCTCGAGGCCCAGGGCCCCCCACCCTGCCTGCAGCACCACCTTCTGAATGAGCTTTTCGTTATCGCCTTTGACCTCCACGCTCATGGGCGTCCGAGGGAACCTCCGGAACACGTCCTCCAGGCTCACCATGCGCCTGTCTGACCCATGGGCAAAGTGGCCTGGGGGGTTGTGGGAAGAGAGATCAAAGAAGGATTGGTTGGGTGGGGTTAAGAACGCGGGGGAAGAGGGACGGGTGCGAGGGGCAAGAGAGGGCCGAGGCAGAGGCCGTGACATGCTCTTACCTGGTGAGAAGTAAATCTCCAGCTCCTTCTTGTAAAGGGGCAGCTCCTGGGGAGAGCAAGCAGCATGTGACCAGGAGGCTCATGTGGAGGCTCGCTGAGTTTGGTGGGGGACTGGGGCAAGGCCCACCTCAAACTCCAGGGTGCCCACATCCCTGTTCACGCCTGACTGGCGGTACAGGTTTTCGTCGTGCGACACCACCACCACACCATCCCGAGTCAGCTGGCAGTCAAGCTCCATGAGGTCTGCTCGCTGGGCCATGGAGCTGTGGGAACAAAGGGCGGCGAGGTGTGGAGCACAGGGACAGGCCAGACTGCAGGGTGGCGGGGGTGGGGGGAGGTTTAGAGGAACACGGGACAGAGTTTAAGGTGGGATATGCAGGCTATGCGATGCCTCCAGGGGGCTCCAGTCACCCCTTGGCACCATGCAGCTCAGCTGGGCAGGTGCACGTACTTTTCCAGGGCCTCCATGGTGTTCTCCAGCCTCTCTCCAGATCCTGTGAGGGGCAGCAGCAGTGGGTCCCTGGGGCCTGGCGCCCCTCCTCCTCCCCTCGCCCCAGCCTCATCACCCGCAGTAAGCTCAGGTTGAATAGCCTCTAATTCCACACCATGCGCTGGCACCCTGCTCTCCTGCCTTGGTCTCTGCCTTCTTTCTAACATTCAGCACCTCAGACCTATTCCTCTCTGTCCAAAATGCTGTCCACTTTGGCACTGTTATCTTTATTCCACCCTCAGTAGCCAGACACCTTCCCCCCCGCCCCCCAGCTCACCTCCACGGTGGGCCCCCAGGCGGGGACGGAAGGCAGGAGCCCGGGGTTTGTGCAGCAGGCGTGGCCGGCGCAGGAAGAAGATGGAGAGCATGACATAGCTGCCCAGGGTGGGCAGGGCATAGTACAACAGCGGGCTCATGGCCGCACTGCCTCTCGGAGCTCCAGCTGCCGCGAGCTCAGCTGTGCCCATGAACTGTGCTCCCTTGTCGATTGCCTGTCTGATGTACGCTGGTTCCACCACTGGTCACCACCACGCCCCTGGGACCTGCTGAGCCTGCTGCTGGCCCAGGGCCAGGCTGCAGAGCTCAGCTGGAGATGGAGTAGAGGCAGGAGGAGGAGCCAGGCAGCTCTGGCCCTCACACCCCCAGACCCTACATACACCCCAGCGCCTCCTTCTCCTTGGCCGTGCTGGGTGGGTCAGGACCCTCTCCCAACCAGCTCTGCCATACCCTTCGTCCTCCCTTACCACTTGTGCGTGTGCCTGAGGGATACAACACATTGCCCCTTGCTGTTTCCAGGAAATCCGGGGTGTGTAGGGTGCCCAAGTCACCTCTGAATCACCCCAACCAGTTAGGAAGACATTAGAGAGGGGAGTAGACAGTGACTAAGGAGAAAACTGACTCCACTCTGTCCAGGAGCCTCCAGCGGCTTCTTGCACTCCCATCCACAACCCTGGCCGGCTGGGGAGCCAAAGGTCACCAGGGTAAAGCCACAGCTGGGAAGCAGCTGGGCTGGTGTGTCAGTCTTCAAAACAGCAATGGTGAGGGACACAGCATCAGCAAACAGACAGAGCCAGGGTCATCATATACACATCTCTATATTTATATATTAGATACAGGCACAGGAGTGGGCAGGGGCACTGGGCTCTGCAGGTACCCCCACCTCCACTTCTGTTCACCCACACACAGAAGCAGCAGGAGCATTACATGTGGCAGCTTAGGGGAGGGAGTTGAGGCAGGGCCCTGCTCCTCAGGTATACTAGCCCTTGAGCCTTAGGAATGTTCCTTCAGGGAAAATAAGTGAGGTTTTAATGAGGCCAGTGGGGCAGGGATGCCCTGGGTCCCTACTGGGTGAACCCTATCCCCCACTGCCCCTCAGCAGGTCACAGGGCAGCCAGAGCCCTTTGATTCCAAAACTACCAGAGACTAGGATAGCTGGGGTAGAGGAAGGCAGAGCCGCTTCGGGGAATTTGCTTTGGGGCCACCTGAGCTCTGCAAGTCTTGGGAAAGGGGGTGGGATGAAGGGAGCCTCGGCCTGTCTAAAGCAGGAGGCTTGAGCAAAGCGAGGGAAGGTGACCAGGCCCACCCTCGGCCCCGACCTGGGCTGCCGGGGCCCGGGCTGGGCAGTATCCATTTTCTAACAGTCCAGCAGGCGAGGGGCAGGCAGAAGACAGGGCCTAAACAAAAAAGCAGGCAGGAAAGGAACCATTAGCATCCATGAGAGCACCTGCCAGAGCCCTGACCTCAACTTCTCTCATTTTATCCTCACAGTTGAGTGAGAGGTGTCTTGGTTTTCTTATCTGTAAATGGGGATAATATTAGTACCTGTCTCATTGGTACTCCTATAGGATTAAATGAGGTCACACACATAAACCTCCTAGAACTAAGTGTTCTGTGCTTGCTCATTATCAGGGCTGTCCCCAGGAAACGGAGGTGTAGAGGTGAAGTGTCTTGCGCAGTATCACGCAGCTCTGACAGGTGTGTCTGCCTTCCTTCTGTCAGTCTACAGCCGGTAGGAAGACAGAAGACTGGAGACTGGGGGAAGAGCAGTGTGGGTCTGAGGCGGCCTTGTAGAGTCCTCCAAAGGTGGGTGGACCGCTGACCTGCGCACCAGGTGTGAGAAAGCTTGGCATCTGGGTCAGGCTGAGTGCTGCTAGCTCCTCCCAAAGCAATTACTGCCCCACCTGTCTCTCTGCCCACACTGAGGCAAAACCTGGCTCCATTCCTCAGGTGGGTGAGAGGGGCCCTCAGTGACCTCCAAAGGCCCGGAATGGCTACTGGGGCTGGAGAATGCAGGGTGTTGACAGGCTGGAGACATCTGCAGCTGGGGGAAAAGGACTGGAGACATGAAGACTGGTGGACCATAGGTTTGTGGCCTGGGCAGGCTCTGGCCCTTCCGTTGCCACCAAACACAGGGATCATGGGCACGAGCAAGCTTTTGACTATATGGTGTATTAGGTACCCTGGTCTCAGGGTGAATTTGCGTGTGCACTCACTAGGCCCCAGGGAGCAGGGGCATCTGTTTCAGGTTAGGTGGCCTCCAGTGCCCCAGGCTGGAAGCGGGCTGTCTCCTGGAATATGAGCTCCTTCAGTCGCTCCTTGGGTAGATCATCCAGCTCCATGTCGAAGGTGAAAGGTTCCTCGGCCACTGGCTGGAGTGGCAAAGAAGTAAGGCTTAGGCCAGATCCTGAGGGATGCCTACCCCACTTACCCACCAGACCTGCTACTGTTGGCTGGCCCACCTCATCTGTTGGGTCGTAGTACTGCTCCAGGTAGGGGTGAGCCAGGGCTTCTTCCACTGTGATCCGTTTATTGGGGTTAAAGGTCAACATCCGGTCCAGCAGGTCAAGGGCTAGGGAAGTGCAGGAATCAGGGGTCAAAAGGCAGGCTAGGGAAGTTCCCACAAGCACTGTTTTGCTCCTGTGTGCTCAGTGGGCCTGTGTACTCAGGCAGCTGCTGGGCTCGTGTACTCAGTTTTTATCCCGTATCAGCCCCCATGTCTCTCTCACCTTTGGAGTCTGACTTGGGAAAAAGCTTGGACCAGGCCACCTTGGTCTTAGAAGGCAGAGACTGTAGGTAGTTTCGGGCCTTCATGTTGATGATGCAATTCAGGTCCTCCTGGGATGGGGAGCCCAGGATACCTGTGGGTAGGGCAGGCGACTTGGTGAGAGATCTTCTCTCCCTTCTGGGCACAGAAGGAAGCAAGAACAAGAGCTCCCGCCAACCCATTCCAAGCCCTGACAGTTATCTCTCAGCCAATACTATGGTGGTGAAACAATACTCTGGATTCAGGCAGCCCTAGGTTGAAATCTCAGCTCCAGCACTTCCTAAATGTGGGGTGTAGCCTTGCTTCTCCCATGTATCAAATGGGATAGTATCTCTATCTCATTGAAATACTGCGAAATGCTATCGGGCTCCAAGTGTGGCTCCGACTCCTGCAGACTCACCGACCCTGACCATAAAGAAATCTCACCTCCAATAAACTAATCTCCCTTCCACTCAGCCGGCCAGATCCCCCTCACCCAGAATGTGGTTGAGCTGGTCCAGGTAGTGCTTGCCAGGGAAGATGGGCCGGTTGGAGAGCATCTCAGCCAGAATGCAGCCCACAGACCAGATGTCGATGGACTTGGTGTAGCCCTGGGGAGGAGGAGAAAGTGGTGGGCTCCTGGGCCAGCCCCAGAAGGTCCCTATTGCCTGGGCCAAGCCACCACCCCAACCTATATGCAATGCTTCAGGGAGGTAGAGAGCAGAGGTCTGGAGAAGCTAATGCCTGGCTTCTTTCCAGATCCCAAGGACCAAAGCAATGTGACACCGCCCCGAAGGTAGACTTCCTGCATCATGGGGGTCACTGCCTGGCTCAGAGGTGACTCCAGGGCTTTCTGGGACATGACGTTTTCCCTTTGGGGGTGGGTGGCCCCCCCTACCTTGGAGTTAAGCATGATCTCTGGGGCCCGGTACCAGCGTGTGGCCACGTATTCTGTCAGGAAGCCAGTGTGGTCGTGCTCAGGGTCAGCGATCCGGGCCAGGCCAAAATCACAGATCTGGAATTCAACCCAGGCTGCTAAGCTTGGTGCTCAAGGTCTCCATCGCCCAAGCAATCATGTTGCCATGCCTCTGCCCATGCTGTTCCCTTTGCTTGTGATGCTCTCCTACTCCAGGGGACTATAAGTCAAATGGAAGCCCTAGACCCACGGGGAGGAGGAAACAGGCACCCAGTCCTCTGACCTTAAGGTCGCAGGTGGTATTGATGAGCAGGTTGGAGGGCTTTAAATCCCGGTGGAGCACATTGGCTGAGTGGATATACTTGAGGCCCCGTAGGATCTGGTAGAGGAAGTAGCAGACGTGGTCGTTGCTCAGCTGCTGGCTTTTGAGCAACTTGTACAGGTCTGTCTCCATCAGGTCCTGCACAATGTAGCTGAGGATGGTATCGGAGACCCCGCAGGTGCGGGTAGCAGGAGGCACTTGGTTAAGAAGAATGGGTTCTTTTGACTAGGCTTCACAGCCCCTCCAACTGGCACCCCTAGGACCCAACAGATCTGCCAACCCATATCACGAGCAGGGCAAGGTCCATACTGAGCAATTGGGTTCAGGGCCTCTGCTGCATGTCAGCTGGTGACCTAAGCGAAAGCATTTCAGTTCTGTGGCCTGCTTCCCTACTGGGAAAAATGGGGACAGTAAATTGAGAGAGGCAGGAGAACTTCACTGTTAAGAGCAGAAGCTCTGGGGTTGACCTGCTAGTGCTGAAACCTCACCCCACTGCTCACTGGTTTTATGACCTCAACCTGTTTGTGCCTCCATTTCCTCATCTGAAAAGTACGGGAAACAGTAGTTCTTTTGAGAGCAGTTTTGACAGTGAGATGAGATGACCCAGGCAAAGCAGCCAGTCCAGTGCCTGGCACTTTTTAAGTGTTCAGCAAGCATGAACTAGTATTGTTATTATAAAAGCCTGAGCCACATGGCTGTTGAGAGGGTTAATTGAGATAATGGGTGAATACCATCTGGTATGCAATAGAATTTTTTTTAGATTTTATTGATTTATTTCCAGAGAGAAGGGAAGGGAGGGAGAGGGAGAGAAACATCGATGTGCAAGAGGAACATCAATTGGCTGCCTCTCACATGCCCCCAACTGGGGACCTAGCCTGCAACCCAGGCATGTGCCCTGACAGGGAATCGAATCAGCGACCTTTTGGTTCGCAGGCCAGCGCTCAATCCACCGAGCCACACCAGCCAGGGCAAATTTTTTTTTAAATTTTTATTTATTGATTTTTAGAGAGAGGAAGGGGGGACAGAGAGAGAAAGAGAAACATTGATTTGTTGTCCCACTTATTTATGCATTCACTGGTTGATTCTTGTATGTGCCCTGACTGGGGATCAAACCTGCAACCTTGGCATACCGAACGACAGTAAAACCAGCTTAAGCTACCTGATCAGGGCCAATAAATGTTTGCTTAAAAATAAATGCCTACCTTACGGGAACAGTTTGTGTAAGACAAATGAGGAGAAACTCCCAACAGCACGCTCCTACTCAAAGAATGCTTTGCCGTGCATGAGAAGATAGAGGAGTAAATGTCCTTTCATATTTTAAGATTAAACATCCATCCATCCATACATACATACATAAATGTCACTTGGCTTGTCTCTGCAAGAATAAGTCAGGACTGTCTTTCAAAATC